TGCATCACTGGGGTAGGTGGGTGGAATATGAAGGGGTCTAGAAGAAAAACCCACCCAGTTTTATTGGGGGAAGAATGGGCTCACCCGAGTCTGTAAAATGGCCTTAAAGCAGCATTTCTCAACCTGGGGGGTCGGGACCCCTGAGGGGGGTCGCGAGAGGGTGTCAGAGGGGTCGCCAATGACCAACAGAAAACACAGTATTTTCTGTTGGTCATGAGGAATCTGTGTGGGATGTTTCGCCCAATTCTGTCGTTGGTGGGGTTCAGAATGCTCTTTGAGTGTAGGTGAACTATAGATCCCAGCAACTACAGTTCCCAAATGTCAAGGTCTATTTCCCCCCAAATTCCACCACTGTTCACATTTAGGCATATTGAGTATTTGTGCCAAGTTTGGTCCAGCCCCATTATTGTTTGAGTGCTCTCTGGATGAAGGTGGACTACAACTCCAAAACTCAAGGTCAGTGCCCACCAAACACTTCCAGTATGTTCTGTTGATCATGGGAGTTTTGTATGCCAAGATTGGTTCAATTCCATCACTGATGGAATTAAACCAATCTTGTTCAGAATGCTCTTTGATTGTAGCTGAATTATAAGTCCCCGCAACTGCAACTCCCAAATGATAAAATCAATACCCTCCAACCCCACCAGTATTCAAATTTGGGCATATCGGGTATATGTGCCAAATTTGGTCCAGTGATTGAAAATACATCCTGCAGATCAGACATTTACATTATGATTCATAACAGTAGCAAAATGACAGTTATGAAGAAGCAACGAAAATAATGTTATAGTTGGGGGTCACTACAACATGAGGAACTCTTACTAAGGGGTCACGGCATTAGGAAGGTTGAGAAACACGGTCTGAAAGAGAGTCTGCACTGAATGAGCCTGGAAGTCTTCCCTTGGGAAAGAGAGGTAGGAGGCAGAAACCATTACAGAGAACTCTACGAAATTATTTTGTAGGGATTTTGACCTCTTTCTCTTCTTTCCTTCCTCCCTCAAGCTCTATCACAGCCGCACAACCTGGGTATACTGCATTGGGAATGTCCTCATGTCACTTTCTGGTGAGTTGGTCATATTCAGGGCCGGGGTTAGCATGTTGTGCTAAGCGTATTTCAGTCAAGTCCAATGCAGAAGACACAATAGCATTGCACCCAGGCAAGAGGAGAAAGAACAGAAGAACTTTCCTCTTATCAGCAGAGTTAAAACATAAATTCGCAGTGTTGCAAATGAAACAAACAGTGCAACAAACTTACACAGTCCTTGTAAACAACACAGAATAAGGCTTCTTCATCTTCATCCAGTAGGAATGGTTGAGCAAAGGCTCCTCAGAGCAAAAGCTAAACTGTATTCCAAAACCCATACAGTTATACCCCACCGGTTGTGGTCCAAACTTTCTAGTTTATTTATTTACAGCTTTTATATTCCGCCCTTCTCACCCCGCAGGGGACTCAGGGCGGATTACAGTGTACACATATATGGCAAACATTCAGTGCCAATTTTTGACATACAAACATATACAGACATAGACAGAGGCTATTTAACTTTTTCTGGCCGCCAGGGGAGCTGTCGCTTTCATCGTCCATCTGCGACGCTGATGAAGCACTTCCGCATTCCCCGCATGCTTCCCCGCTGGAATGCTTTGCTAGAGTCTTCTTTATGGCCTCATAAATCAATTAATTTAGCTTCCCCACACTTTAAGGTGGTACTTTATTTTCCTACTTGACAGATGCAACTGTCTTTCGGGTTGCAAAGGTCAACACAGGCTACACACAGTTGGTTGGAAACCCACTCCAACCCGGGCTGGCTTCGAACTCATGACCTTTTTTGGTCAGACACTCAGCCAGCTGCGCCACAATCCTGGTTGGTGGTGACAAGAGAGAGGGCCTTCTCGGTGGTGGCCCCCCGTCTCTGGAACGCCCTTCCAAGGGAAATAAGACAGGCCCCATCCCTCCCCTCCTTTCGTAAGAGCTTGAAGACCTGGTGGTTTCAACAAGCCTTTGAAAATGGCCAGTTCTAACTCAGCCCTACTCAGCCCAACAGGCTACACACAATTGGTTGGAAACCCACTCCAACCCGGGCTGGCTTCAAACTCATGACCTTTTTGGTCAGAGTGATCTTAATGCAGCTGACACTCAGCCAGCTGCGCCACAATCCCGGTTGACCTACCTTATCAGCTGCACATAATAATCAACAGTATAAGGTTTTCTTTAACACACACACACATGCTTGATCCTGTTGCAACTTACTGTAACATAGCACAGCTGGTAAATCACCAGTAATTATGAGATCTACCAAACCGAAACGTTACTCGTTTGAAGCCCCAGCTTGGCGTGAGCTGCTGACTGTCAAGCCAAGCTTACTGTTGGCCTAAGCAGTTCGAAAACAGCTTGTGCTGTAATTAGAGAAATTAGGTACCGCTAAAGCAAGTGGGGGAGGTATTTTATGACACCACTAGCTGTTCCCTGCCACATATTGTTGTGGCCCAGTCTGTGTATATGTGTTTTGTGTGTGTATATATTTGTGTATATGTGTATATATGTAGTTTTGTGCATGCGGTGTTATGTATTTTTTATTTTTTGGCCTTTAAAGTTGCTTCTGCTGTATTTTTCAGTGTTTTTATGAGTGATGGTCACTTGTTGGCCTGATAGGTGTATTGTGTCCAAATTTGGTGACGATTTGTCCAGTGGTTTTTGAGTTATGTTAATCCCACAAAGAAACATTACATTTTTATTTATATAGATGAAGAAAAAGATCAGAAAATTCTGGGTGGCCAAAAGGGAGGAGGAAGTCCTGATGGCTCTTTGTGATGGAGCGACAGCACCCCCCTCCTCCCCCGTGGCTGGATTTCAAGCACAAACCTTCCAAGGCACCAAAAAGTTGGGTGTTTGTGGACACAACATCCCTCCTTCTGTTCTGTCTGATTCTGTATTGTCTGTCCAAACATGGCATTGAATGTTTGCCATGTATGTGTACTGTGATTTACCCTGAATCCCCTTGGGGAGACAGGGCAGAATATAAATAAAGTGTGATTATTATATTAGTGGAAAATAATAATAATAATAATTCAAAAATACATCACACAGTCCTAAATGCTTGGGAAGTGTTCGACTTGTGATTTTGTGATACGAAATCCAGCATATAGATCTCGTTTGCTGTGACATACTGTGCTTTTGTGTCAGTAAAATAATAATAACAACAACAACAACTTTAATTGCAACTCCACAGGGGGACTCAGGGCAGTTTCCAAACAAAAAGTGGGAAACATTCAATGCCATCATAAAAAACAAACACATAGATGGCTGAATTAGAGGAGAATCGGAAAACTTGTGTGAGGATGGGAGGGTGGGGGCATCAGATTTAATACCTGAAGTCATTAGGAGAGCAGTGAGCTGAGATTAAGGGACTGCTTTATTCTGCATCCAGCAGCTCTTGTCTGTCTGTGATAGGCAGTAGTCCCTTTAAAGCGGGAATCCTGCCCTTCCCAGGAGACTCAAGCAATAGCAAACTGCTGCCACTTACTCTTGTTTGTGTGTTCTTCATTGATAGCATTTGCCATGTTGATCAAACGCTGATGTTCTTGTCTGCATGTATTCTGTGAAATTATTATTATTATTATTATTATTATTATTATTATTATTATTAACTTTATTTGTACCCCGCTAGCATCTCCCGAAGGACTCGATGCGGCTTACAAAGGCCAAGGCCTCAATACACAACATAACAATACACCTAAAGCAAATTAAAACAATTAAAGCAGTATTAAAACAACAAAACAAAACGGTATATTTGTCCTTTCAAGTGGGACACAGAGGCAGTGGGGCTCAGGATGAGGGAACAATCCTCTATGAGTCATTATTTATTTATTTACGACATTTATATGCCACCCTTCTCACCCCGAAAGGGACTCAGAGCGGCTTACAATATATATATATATATATATATATATATATATATATATATATATATACATACAATATATTATATTATATTATTAGCATAGTACAATATCAGTATTATATATTACTATATTGTACTATACCATTATATTGTAATATTAGTAATATTACATGTAATATAAAATATATAATTATAATATCATATAATTATTAGTACTATATTGTATTACATTATAATATTATAAATATATGCACAGGGTGAGGCAGCATAACTTCCTTTTTTAAAATGCGGTTGCCATGCGTTGCTGTGGTCCAGTCTGTGTATGTGTGTTTTGTGTGTATACATATGTATTTATGTGTGTGTATATATTTGTGTGTATATGTGTGTTTGTGTATATATATGTGTGTGTGTGTATTTGTGTGTTTATATGTGTACGTGCATATTGTGTATATGTGTGTGCTTGCCTATATGCATATTTGTGTGTATATGTGTGTGTATGTATGTGTATATGTGTGCATGTGTATATGTATATGTGTGTGTGTATATGTATATTTGTGTGTGCATGTGTATATATGTGTGTATGCATATGTATGTGTGTATATGTGTATATTTGTGTGTGTTTGTGCATATATATACAAATGTGTGCATGTGTATATGAGTGTATGTGTATATGTATATWTGTATATTTGTGTGTGCATGTGTATATATGTGTGTATGTATATGTATGTGTGTATATGTGTATATTTGTGTGYATTTGTGCATATATATAYGAATGTGTGCATGTGTATATGTATATGTGTGCATGTGTATATGTATATATGTGTGTATATATGTATATTTGTGTGTGCATGTGTATATATGTGTGTATGCATATGTATGTGTGTATATTTGTGTTTGTGCATATATATACAAATGTGTGCATGTGTATATGTATATGAGTCTATGTGTATATGTGTATATTTTTGTGTTTTTGTACATATATACACGAATGTGTGCATGTGTATATGTATATGAGTGTATGTGTATATGTATATATGGGTGTATATATGTATATTTGTGTGTGCATGTGTATATATGTGTGTATGCATATGTATGTGTGTATGAGTGTATGTGTATATGTATATATGGGTGTGTATATGTATATTTGTGTGTGCATGTGTATATATGTGTGTATGCATATGTATATGTGTGTATATTTGTGTTTGTGCATATATATATATGAATGTGTGCATGTGTATATATATATATGTGTGTGTGTGTTTATGTATATGTATGTGTGTATATTTGTGTGTGTTTGTGCATATATATATGAATGTGTGCATGTGTATATGTATATGAGTGTATGTGTATATGTATATATGGTGTTGTTGAGCTGTTGTTAAGCTGCACTCTTCCCTTGCCCTGTCTCTCCCAATGACTCCTGTTTTTCTCCCATTCAGGAAAGTCCTCCCAGCTCTTCTCGCACAGTTTGCTGGGCCTCTATGAGCAGAGCAGACGAGACCAGCGGCCCGGGATGGCCATTTCTCCGCACAGACTGCTACCTAGGTAAACCCATTCCACTGGCTGTTAGGAATTGTGGGAGTTGAAGTCCCAAACACCTGGAGGGCCTGTTCGTTGGCCCATACATGCCCTAACAGGACCACAGCTTTCAAACCATGTTACCAAAAAGACACTCAGGCATCCCATCATGCATCTTCCCTCTATACAACTAGCTAATCGTGTTTTTCTCTGACATTCAGGAAAAACATCATCACCACAAAGATCCAAGATACCAAAGGATGCCAGAAATGTTGCACAGGTTAGTGCTATTCCTACCCTGACCTGCAGAGGGAGGGGCAGTTCCCGCATCCCTTTGGCTTTCTTTTTGCCACCCAAATATCCACTGCGAATGTGCTAGATCAGGAGTCGTCAAACCTTTTAAACAGAGGGCCAGATCATGTCCCCCCAGACTGCTGGGTGGATAGACTAGAGTTTGAAAAAACATGAACGCTTTGGGTTGTTGTAGGTTTTTTGGGCTATATGGCCATGTTCTAGAAGCATTCTCTCCTGATATTTCACCTGCATCTATGGCAAGCATCCTCAGAGGCTGAGAAAGTATGACTTGCCTAAAGTCACCCAGTGGATTCACAACCATAGTCCAAAGTTCAAACCATGCCATGCTGAATTCTCAATCCTTTTCCTTTTTCCTATCTGTTTCTTGCTTTTCTTCTTTCCGTTTCCTAGCTACCTTTCTTTCTTCCTTTTCTCCCTCCCTCCTTCCTTCTTTTTCCTAGCTTTCTTTCCCCTCCTCCTTCTCCATCCCTCCATCGCCCCTTTTCCTTCCTTCCTTCCTTCCTTCCTTCCTTCCTTCCTTCCTTCCTTCCTTCCTTCCTTCCCCTCCTCTCTCTCTCTTTCCTTTTTTTCTCCACACCTCCCTAGCTACCTTTCTTTCTTCCTTTTCTTCCTCCCTCCTTCCTTCTTTTTCCTAGCTTTCTTTTCCCTCCTCCTCCCCCACCCTCCATCACCCTTTTTCCTTTTCTTTCCTTCCTTCTCCTTTTTCCTTTCTTCCTTCCTTCCTTCCTTCCTTCCTCCTTCCTTCCTTCCTTCCTTCTTCCTTCCCTCTCTTCCTCCTTCCTCCCTCTCCTCTTCGCTTTCCTTTTTTTCTCCACTCCTCTCTTCTACCTTTCTTTTTCCTTTTCCTCCCTCCCTCCTTCCTTTTTTCCTCTCTTTCTTAGAGATGGCTTTCCCTCCTCTCCATCCTTTCTTCCTTCCTTTCCTTCCTTCCATCCATCCATCCATTCCATCTCAATCCATCCATCCATCCATCATCCTTCCCCTCCTCCTCTCTCTTTCCTTTTTTTTCTCCATTCCTCCCTAGCTACCTTTCTTTCTTCCTTTTCTCCCTCCCTCCTTCCTTCTTTTTCCTAGCTTTCTTTCCCTCCTCCTTCTCCATCCCTCCATCGCCCTTTTTCCTTCCTTCCTTCCTTCCTTCCTTCCTTCCTTCCTTTCCTTCCTTCCTTTCCTCTCCTCCTCCTCCTTCCTCTCCTCTCTCCTTCCTTCCTTTTTTCTCCCTTCCATTACTCTCTTCTTCCTTCTTTCCTTCCTTCCTTCTTTTTCTCTTTGCTTCCTTCCCTCTCATTTCCCCTTTTTCCTTCCTTCCTTCCTTCCTTCCTTCCTTCCTTCCTTCCTTCCTTCCTTCCTTCTTCCCCCACTCCTCCTCTCTCGCTTTCCTTTTTTTCTCCACTCCTCCCTAGCTACCTTTCTTTCTTCCTTTTCTCCCTCCCTCCTTCCTTCTTTTTCCTAGCTTTCTTTCCCCTCCTCCATCCCTCCATCACCCTTTTTCCTTCCTTCCTTCCTTCCTTCCTTCCTTCCTTCCTTCCTTCCTTCCTTCCTCTCCTCCCTCCATCCCTCTTTCCTTTTTTCTCTCCACTCCTCCCCTTTCTTTCTTCCTCAGATGAGAATGGCAGCAGTAGCAGCACAAATGATGGTGATGGCAGTACTAGAAACTCTAAAGTTTAGGGAAGGGGCTGAGCCAATGACTTTGGTGGGCTGTATCCAGCCTGTGGGCCATAATTAGACGACTCTTGTGTTAGATTTATGGAAATTTAGGCTCCATGCAGATGGTAGAGCAAGCAGAAACGACAAGTGATTCTGAAGCAATTGTGTAGCAAATTTGCCCTTTCCTTGCAGCCATGAATGCACAAAGCAACTGCCACTACCTATGTGGGGCACTGGAGGCTGGTGTGGTGCTGCTGCAATGGTATGAACCCATGCAGAAATTCATGCTGGTCAAGGTAAGGAACCCCTTTTCTCTGATGAACCCTTGCCTCATCGAGGTCAATGTGCGCAGCGCCAAGGATAGAGGAAATGGCAAAGGAAATGGGTCTGGTAACATCCCATTGATTGGCTGTGTGTGTGTGTTCTGGGACAGGGGAAGGATCCCAATTTTTTCTTCTTAGGAGCACATGGCTGCCGTAGTTCTGTCTTACACGCTGCTTTGCCTGGAGCTGAATTATTATTATTATTATTATTATTATTATTATTATTATTATTAATTTTCATCATCTTTATTATGAGAGTTTTCAATGAATATACATAAAATTGTGGTCAATACATTGGGGTAGAGGGTTTGATATGGGTTGGATAGAAGGTAACAAACAAACAAAGGGAAAAAAGAGGGGGGAAAGAGAAGAATGAGAGGGGGAGAGGGATGGGGAGGAGTATGAATAGGGTTGGGGGCGGACGGGCGGGGGGGGGGGGGGGGGGGGGGTGTCATTTGTCTCCCGGTCCATTCCACAGGGAGTTTATTTGAGTCCTTTTCCCTTTCTTTTTGGTCTTCTTTTTCTCGCCGCTCTCACGGCATTCCATCTATTTTATTTTCTCTACTAAGTTTTCCTCTTTCTATAAGCTACAATCGTCTTGTTATATTTACTCTATCAATATGAAGTGTATAAGTTTCTTTTTCTGAAGATATTCTTTCAGCGATGACCCCCAATCTGTCTTGTATCTGCTTTTCTGATCCTGGAGAAGAAAAGTTAAAGAGTCCATGTTCTTGTGTTGTTGTTGTTCATTCGTTCAGTCGTCTCCGACTCTTCGTGACCTCATGGACCAGTCCACGCCAGAGCTCCCTGTCGGCCGTCACCACCCCCAGCTCCTTCAAGGTCAGTCCAGTCACTTCAAGGATGCCATCCATCCATCTTGCCCTTGGTCGGCCCCTCTTCCTTTTTCCTTCTACTTTCCCCAGCATAATTGTCTTCTCTAGGCTTTCTGTCTCCTCATGATGTGGCCAAAGTACTTCAACTTTGTCTCTAGTATCCTTCCCTCCAGTGAGCAGTCGGGCTTTATTTCCTGGAGGATGGACTGATTGGATCTTCTCGCAGTCCAAGGCACTCTCAGCATTTTCCTCCAACACCACAGCTCAAAAGCATCGATCTTCCTTCGCTCAGCCTTCCCTAAGGTCCAGCTCTCACATCCGTAGGTTACTACAGGGAATACCATGGCTTTGACTAGGCGGATCTTTGTTGCTAGTCTGATGTCTCTACTCTTTATTATTTTAGTGAGACTGGACATTGCTCTCCTCCCAAGAAGTAAGCGTCTTCTGATTTCCTGGCCACAGTCTGCATCTGCAGTAATCTTTGCGCCTAGAAATAAAAAGTCTGTTCTTGTAGTCCATATTTTTTGCAATCCATGTATCAGTTGTCAGGGTTTCTTTTAATCGCCATTTTTCAGCTAATAATGCCCTTGCTGCTGTTGTAAGATAATAATATATTTTATCCTTGTTCTTCCCTATCTCAAAATCTGTCATGTTTAGAAGGTAATATTCAAGTTTTAGATTAAACATCCATTTTTGTATTTTTTGGGGGAGTGTTCATGTATTTTTCTCCAATATTTCTTAACTTCTCTGCAAGTTCACCAGGAATGAAAAAAGGTCCCCACTTCTTCCCCACATTTCCAACATTTATTATTTTGTCCTTTAGAGTACTTTGCTAACTTCTGGGTTGTTAGATGCCACCTAAAAACATCTTGTACCAATTTTCTATTACATTTATGGATCTTTAATATTTTGTTTTTATTTTCCATGTTTTCTCCCACTCAGTAGTAATATTGAGTGACCAAAATCTTTTGTCCATTTGATCACAATTTCATTTATTAATTCTGTTTCTGTGTTCCATTCTAAAAGTTTTTGGTATGTTATCTTTATTTTTTTCCTCTTGACATTATTGTGTCCTATGTTGACTCTTGTGATGTGAATTCAAATGTCTTATCTTCTTTGTAGCTGTCCATTATCTGTCTGTATTGGAACCAAGACAAGTTGTTCCTCTGGCTGGAACTGAATTATTGAATTCTGTTTCTCTCTCTCCCCCCTACTTGCCCATTGCCAGTATTTTGACTTCCCGCTCCCCTCCTCACTGCCCGTCTTCGAGATGCTTGTGGCCCCTGACCAGGAGTATCCTTTGGTTTGCTTTGGAGTGAGCAAGGGACCCCCAGGGCAGGCGGTCCAGTTCCAGATCATCAACCTCAATTCACTGACCTCCTGGTTCATTGATGACAGCAGCGGTAAGGCCACTCAGGAGTGTCTCTGTGGGTTTGTGGACAGGGGCTATGCAGAGTTATCCTCAAAGAGGATAAGCTGGATGACAGAAGGTGCTGCTGCATTGGCAAGAGCAAAGGTGGTCCAGCTCCTGCCATTTATAAAAGTATCTTTCCAAGCACATCTTTGGATGTACAAATAACATGTATGCCCTGCTCCACATGCTGCATTTCAATGGGGATAAGAAACCTCAACCAGTCAAAATTCTCAGCTGGGATCCTGCATGGGAGATGTAACTATAATGATGTAGATGTAATCCATCCTCTGAGCTGGCCCCCCAAAGCCCACACCAAACAAAGGAGTCCAGCATCGGTGAAGGAGGTGCTGAGAGATGGTGTGTGTAAGCTGTGCCGCTTATGAAGTCATGAACCTTTCATGAAGTCAGGGGGTCTGAAAATAGGCACCCAAACCTTGAAACATATCTTCCTGTTCTAAAAATAATGATGCATTTCTCCACAGAACCTGCATGCTCTGACCCTGTTCAGGTGACCCAGCTGGACAGCAAGAGAGTGCTGGTTCTGATGCACAGTAAGTGTGAACGAAAGTGTTGAGGGTGTGTCAGGGTTGAGCAGGAGTGCAACTTTTTGTTGGTGCCCAAACAATTGGTTTTTGTTTCCTAGAGAGCATCCAGTTTGTCACCCTCCAAGGGCTGCTGCTTCAGTGCCCTCCGCAACTGACCTGTGATGTGGAAGTGGAGTCACTTGGTGGGTTCCTTTGGCTTGTCCTTCTCAGCATTCCCATCTCATAACCTCTTGGTCATCTGTTTGCTGCAGCCCAGGCCTCCCTCCACATATTATTGCAAGCTATTGTGTCCTCCAGTTGTCCTGATTTAGCAGCAGCAGTCCTGGTTGATCCAGTCATTGTATTGTCGAAGGCTTTCATGGCTGGAATCACTGGGTTGTTGTAGGTTTTTCGGGCTATATGGCCATGTTCCAGAAGCATTCTCTCCTGATGTTTCGCCTGCATTTATGGCAGGCATCCTCAGAGGCTGTGAGGTCTATTGGAAACTAGGAAAATGTTTCCTTGTTTCCAACAGACCTCACATTTTCCTAGTTTCAAACAGACCTCACAACCTCTGAGGATGCCTGCCATAGATGCAGGCAAAACGTCAGGAGAGAATGCTTCTGGTACATGGCCATGAAGCCCAGAAAACTTACAACAGCCCAGTGATTCCAGCCTTCGACAATACATCTCTGCTGAAATTGGAAAGCTCCGCTAAATTCATTCTTGTCTTTTGTGCACAGCATGCATGTTCTGTGTGTACGAGGGTTGAATGAAAAGTAATGCCTCCACCTTCGTTATTTGGATTTGGATGGGAATACTTTAATAAATCAAACGCAGAAATAATCCTCAGAATGTGCTCTTTAACTACCACTATTCACTTTTCCACATAATCACCAGACAATTGGATACATTTCTGCCAACGATGAACAAGTTTTCTGAAGCTGTCACGGAAGAAGTCGACACTCTGTTTCCGCAACCAGCATCTCACAGTTCTCTCATACTGGGTACCCATCATGCACAGATCTTCTGATAGTCAAGCAAAGCAATAATGTGACCCACGCATTCTTGTGAAATGTCAATTATGCTTGAAATTTCTCTCTGAGTGATACGATGATCATCCTGAATCAATCTGTCAACCTTTTGCTTGTGAAACTCGGTGGTTGCTGTTACAGGACGTCCAACTCCTTCTTTGTCACGCAAGTCAGATGTTCCCACCTCAACATCTTTAAACTTACTCGCCCAATGACACACATTACTCACATCAACACAATCACCACAAACAGCTTGCATTCTCTGATGCATCCCCTTTGGGGTGACACCTTCTGCTCTCAAGAATTCATGACTGCATGTTGCTTAAGTCGCATTGACCGACCGTTTGCGCAGGGTTCCATACTTCGTACTTTAACAACACAACCATTCAATGCTAAGGCTTTCCACCAAAATGGAACTGTAGAGGAGAGTCTACTGAACAAGCCAGTACCTGCAACATAACAGTACTGCCATCTGTTGAGGAGTTACGAAGGTGGAGGCATTACTTTTCATTCAACCCTCGTATATTTGAAGCTTGTCTGTGTAGGATTTGGATGTGGGATGGCCATGTTGGATTTTTTCTGGGGTGAAGGATTAAGTCCCCCTTTTGCCAAAATACACGTCTATTTATTTTTGAAGGATTTGCATCGCATGGCTCGAGAGCAGTACGTGTGAAAAAGATCTTGGGAGTCCTCGTGGACAACAAGTTAAACATGAGCCAACAATGTGATGTGGCGGCAAAAAAAGCCAATGGGATTTTGGCCTGCATCAATAGGAGCATAGTGTCTAGATCTAAGGAAGTAATGCTACCCCTCTATTCTGCTTTGGTTAGACCACACCTGGAATATTGTGTCCAATTCTGGGCACCATAATTCAAGAGAGATATTGACAAGCTGGAATGTGTCCAGAGGAGGGCGACTAAAATGACCAAGGGTCTAGAGAACAAGCCCTATGAGGAGCGGCTTAAGGAGCTGGGCATGTTTAGCCTGAAGAAGAGAAGGCTGAGAGGAGATATGATAGCCATGTATAAATATGTGAGAGGAAGCCACAGGGAGGAGGGAGCAAGCTTGTTTTCTGCTTCCCTGGAGACTAGGACGCGGAACAATGGCTTCAAACTACAAGAGAGGAGATTCCATCTGAACATGAGGAAGAACTTCCTGACTGTGAGAGCCATTCAGCAGTGGAACTCTCTGCCCCGGAGCGTGGTGGAGGCTCCTTCTTTGGAAGCTTTTAAACAGAGGCTGGATGGCCATCTGTCAGGGGTGATTTGAATGCAATATTCCTGCTTCTTGGCAGGGGGTTGGACTGGATGGCCCATGAGGTCTCTTCCAACTCTGATTCTATGATTCTATGTCTGGCAAGGGCCTTCCCACATCTCTTCATCATATCTGAGGGGAAAGGGGAAATAACACCACCCCAAGTTCTGAATTTCCTTCTTTCTTTGCAGCGGTAGTGCACAACACTGTGTATGCATTTTGGCGGCATGGAGTGCAGACGTGGCTTATAGGATCACGACAGGTAAAGGGGAACCTTCTTCCTTTCCCTTGGGTTGTCATGTCAAAGACAGGATTGGTATTGGGATACTCAGAAGTGATTTTGCAGATTTCTTGGAGATAGAGTGGAATATGAATAAAGGCACATGGAGCCTACAGCACATGGAGGTGAGCTGCCATCCAAGTACTAATCAGACATCATCCTTTTTAACTTCTACATTTCGATGCAAACGGATGCCTTTAGGGGTGATTCCTGATTTATAGCACCCAATACATAGATGGTTGGAAGATTTGGGTGCCTATCCCAATGGAGGGGAGTTGTAGGAGGAGAGGGCTGGCTAGCCTTTTGTAGCAACTTATCCTTTCCTTAGGTGGCACAGGATCTGCGGGATCAGCGATGGACCTTCCGTCTACTGGGAGCCTCCAGGTATAAAAAAACTGATTCCCAAGTTCTTTTTGGTTCTCTTGTTTTCTAGACATTTTTTTTGTTTTGTTGGTGAAGGGGGTTTAGATAAAAACCACAGGGTTTCTGATTCTTGCTTAAAATGTGGCCTTTGCCTTGCACCTTGTTTCATCCATCCGGAGTCCCCCAGGGGAGATAGAGTGGAATATGAATAAAGTGTTGTTGTTGTTGTTGTTGTTGTTGTTGTTGTTGATATTATGCTCTGTAACCATCTCTAAAAAACTGGTCATGGCCACCGTGCTATCTGCACCTTGCCCTCTCAAACTGACATTGTATTTATCGTGTCAGGAGCAAATCAAACAGTTGTATTGCATTTTTAAACAAACATGCAAAACACAAAGTTTGCAAGCTTGGTAGTTGATTAAATGTCCTTTGACCAGTAACTAGCCACTTGGAGTGCCTCTGGTGTTACTATAAGAAGACCCTCCATTGTGCTTGTAGCAGGGCTCAGGTTGCATTGCAGCAGGTGGTCAGTGGTTTGGTCTTCTCCACACTCACATGTCGCGGATTCCACTTTGTGGCCCCATTTCTTAAGGTTGGCTCTGCATCTCGTGGTGCCACAGCTCAGTCTGTTTAGTGGCTTCCAAGTCGCCCAGTTTTCTGTGTGCCCAGGGGGGAGTCTCTCATTTGGTATCAGCCATGGATTGAGGTGCTGGGTTTGAGCCTGCCACTTTTGGACTCTCGCTTGCTGAGGTGTTCCAGCGAGTGTCTCTGTAGATCTTAGAAAACTATTTCTAGATTTAAGTTGTTGGCGTGCTGGCTGATACCCAAACAAGGGATGGGCTGGAGATGTCTCTGCCTTGGTCCTTTCACTATTGGCTGCTACTTCACGGCGGATGTCAGGTGGTGCAATACCGGCTAGACAGTGTAATTTCTCCAGTGGTGTAGGGTGCAGACACCCCGTGATAATGCGGCATGTCTCATTAAGAGCCACATCCACTGTTTTAGTGTGGTGAGATGTGTTCCACACTGGGCATGCATACTCAGCAGCAGAGTAGCATAGCGTAAGGGCAGATGTCTTCACTGTGTGTCAAACTGACATCAATGTATTTTTGGGCTTGGCTTTATGTTAGCCGCCTTGAGTCCCCATTGGGAAGATGGTGGCGGGGTATAAATGAAATTGTTTATTATTATTATTATTATTATTATTATTATTATTATTATTATTGTAGGTAACAGCAAATATAAGTTGAGGTTTGTGCTGTTAATTGTTCTCTTCCTTCCTTCCGCCAGCACTGTTGTATTAGAGACACGGCCTGTGGATGAACCCAACTCCACCAGCAACCTCTATGTGCCAGAATGACCCTCGCCCAAAGTTTACCTACAAGGCATTTGTACATACAGACTTTGGCAATTGTAGCCCTCTTTTTTGAGTCCCTTGTGCTACCTCTGTATCTTCAACACAGATAGCCTTGCAGGAGGCACAGGAGGACTGAGAGCAACAAACGCACCTGTCACAACTCTCGGTGGTGCTTCAAAAACAGTAAGAGAAGGACTGGGTTGGAACACCCACTCTGCATTTCAATTGGCTCGGCACAAATCCAGAGAGGTGTCAGTTTCCTGGTTTCCCTTTACATGCAAGCTTCACCTTAGTAAAGAATGTGCTCATTTCTCCCTGCTCCCTTTTACAGTTAATTTAATTAATTTAATTTGCAGTATTTATATTCCGCCCTTCTCACCCCACAGGGGACTCAGGGCGGATTACAATGTACACATATATGGCAAACATTCAATGCCAATTTGACATACAATGTATACAGACATACACAGAGGCTATTTAACTTTTTCTGGCCACCAGGGGAACTGTCGCTTTCATCGTCCATCTGCGACACTGATGAAGTATTTCCGCATTCCCCGCATGCTTTTGCTGGAGTGCTTTGCTGGAGTCTTTTTTATGGCCTCATAAATTAGTTAATTTAGCCTCCCCACACAAGGTGGTACCTAATTTTCCTGCTTGACAGATGCAACTGTCTTTCGGGTTGCAAAGGTCGACAACAGGCTACACAATTGGTTGGAAGCCCACTCCAACCCGGGCTGGCTTTGAACTCATGACCTTTTAGTCAGAGTGATCTTAATGCAGCTGACACTGAGCCAGTTGCACTACAATCCCAGTTAGTTCTTTGCTCTTTTTCATGTGTGTTTGAAGCAGAGAAATGCCTCTTGGTGTGGCTAAACTCTCAGTGCCTGGTTTATTATCCTGGTGCTGGCTTGGGCTTAATGCAAGCGAAATTATTCAGTACAACAGGAAAATAGATTTAAAGATGGGCTCAAAGCCAACCTTAAAAACTGTGGCATAGACACTGAGAACTGGGAAGCCCTGGCCCTTGAGCACTCCAGCTGGAGGTCAGCTGTGACCAGCAGTGCTGTAGAATTTGAAGAGGCATGAAGGGGGGGGGGGGCAAAAGAGAGAAATGTGCCAAGAGGGGAAGGTGTATCAAAGCAACCCCAACCGGGACCTCACCTGGAAACAGCGGGAGAACATGCAGGTCAAGAATAGGGCTCCACAGTCACCTACGGACCCACCGCCAGTCCACCGATCTTGGAAGACAATCCTACTCAGACAATGAGGGGTCGCCTAAGTAAGTAAGTAAGTACAATGGAGAGGCATTTGGCTTGAGAGAGAGTATATGGACTGAGAAATTGTGCACGGTGCACCAGAGAGGAAAGCTTTGACTGGTGCTGGTCACATATCTACTAAAAATAATGGCAAATTTCAGTTGCTGGTTCATGTTACCCCTGCATGTATGAACTGGAATGAGAGATACATGTGTCCCTAGCATCCCTAGGTACAAGATAAAAGAGGACACCAACTCAATGGCTGCAGCAGTCTATGGTTTTATTGGCAGGTAACCAAGCTGTGCTCAGAGAGGATGGCGAGGAAGCACAGAGGTGTTTGGATCCCAGCTGTCCCCACAGCAGGCCCCACTTATGATTTTGTATGGGAGTAGGACACAGTGGCGGACAGGACAGGAGTGGAACGGAGCATAATGCTCGCTCCGTTCTGGCTCCTTATGCACACACAAACACACATGAGGTTGGATGGGATGGGCTTCACCAGTGCCTCCCCAGCTCCACAGAAAAATTGTAGCACAGAGAAGTCCCACCATCACCATCACACAAACCCCAAGCCCCACAAATGAGACACAGCTTGGAGCGGAGTAGGCCGATACTGCAAAGGGGACTGATGGGGGGGGGCTGCATTAGTACCCCCCTCCTTTGGGACTGGCTCTAGAAGGCCAGCATCTTTCTTCCTCTGCCTGCCCTCCTTACAAGCCAATGTGAGATAGCAGCAAAATAACTCTCCTCTTCCTCCTTAACCAAAAATAGCATCTAGCTCCCACCCACAAAGGGCCCTCTTGTCCTTGGGCTAAGAGTCTATGAAAGGCACTTGAAACTGGGGGGGTCCTTTGTCCCAGGAAGGGAAGTATTGCATGGACACCCCCACGGGACAGGGAAGGGGCGGGAAGAGTTACTGGCCAAGCGTTACACTTAATCGCCGCCGTCCAGCCATCAACCATCAAGTCATTTTTCCTAAGGGTGGGTATTCCACCTCTTTCGTCTAGGGTCTGGTTGCATGGGTGTTTTTTTGGGGGGGAGGGGAGAAGAAGCAGCAGGACACACAAGAGACGGCGGCAACGACAGGGGGGCAGGTGGACAAGGCAGCTTCTCCCACTGCTTTCTGAAAGAGAAAAAGCCAGATCCGGTGTGCCACCCTGCACTGGCTGTGCCCCCATCCGCCCAGGGCCAAAGAAAGAGGGCCAGGAAGGTGGAGGCTGGGCAGGCACTTCCCTCCTTCAGACACCACCACAGGAAGCACCTAGCCGAGCTGATCCTCGTATTGCTTGCGGAAACAGTCGCCGGCAGGGAAGAAGTCCCAGCAGCGCTCTTGGTACATCTTCCAGACATAAGACTCCTGTGGGGATTGGAGAGACAGAAGGTGGGTGAGAAGAGGACAGCCTATGGGCTGAATCTAAGCACCAAAAGGAGAATGGGTGGCTCCATCCCACCAGTTGCCCCTTTATTCTACCACTAGCTGTACCCGCCACYCTTTGCTGTGGCCAATCTTCCCTCCCTCTTTCTCTCCTTCCTTCACTCCCTCCTTCCTTCTTTTCCTTTCCTTCTTTCCCTCCTTCCTTCTCTACCTCTTTCCTTCCTTCCTTCACTTTTTGCTTTCATCCTTCCTTCTCTCTTGTACRCGCCACGCTTTGCTGTGGACAATCTTCCCTCCCTCTTTCTCTCCTTCCTTCGCTCCCTCCTTCCTTCTTTTCCTTTCCTTCTTTCCTTCCTTCCTTCTCTACCTCTTTCCTTCCTTCCTTCCTTCCTTCCTTCCTTCCTTCCTTCCTTCCTTCCTTCACTTTTTGCTTTCATCCTTCCTTCTCTCTTGTACCCGCCACGCTTTGCTATGGCCAATCTTCCCTCCCTCTTTCTCTCCTTCCTTCGCTCCCTCCTTCCTTCTTTTCCTTTCCTTTCCTTTTCTTCTCTCCTTCCTTCCTTCCTTCCTTCCTTCCTTCCTTCCTTCCTTCCTTCCTTCCTTCCTTCCTTCCTTCCTTCTTTTCCTTTCCTTTCCTTTCCTTCCTTCTTTTCCTTTCATTCTCTACCTCTTTCCTTCCTTCGCTTTTTGCTTTCATCTTTCCTTCTCTCTCTATTTCTTTCTCCCCTGCTTTCTCCCCTGCAGTCTTATTTCAGGCTCTTAAACCAGGAAGATCTCTGGGTGACTCCCAGGCTACCGTTCCCACTGCCCCATCTCCAGGGTGGCCTCTCACCTGGCCGGTGTGCTCCGTTTCGTCTTTGTTGATGAGATACATGAGGAAGAACCTGTAAAGGGGAAAGAGGCAGACGATGATGTAGGACCAGAGGCTACTGCTTTGAAACTGCATGAAATGATCAGTGTGGCTGTTTTCCTCCCTGGCTTCAGACCAATGCCCTAAAGCGAAAGCCTTCAGAGATACAAATATCTGCTGGTTTTGATCCCAGCAGCGCATATTCCCTGCTCCAAATCGGATGGCAGTTCTACAATTCCAAATCTGGTGGAAAACAGTTATGTAGTATTTACAACTCCCAGAAGAGCCCAATCCCAAGCAGCGAGGATGAACTGCATTAAATTGAGGGGCGGCTGAAGCAATAGGCAAGTTACGCATTTGCGTATAGTGCAAAATCCTTGAGGGGTGCTTACACTTAAAAATGTCCTAGGGCCGGCCCTGAAAATCTGCTGATGAGAATTCCCACAATAGATGGCTTTCATATCAACCTCAGGGACAACACTGTTATTGGAAGGCAGACAGGGCACTCAGCATCATGGCAGCATGACAATAAGCATCTTGGCAGCATGACTCATAGAGTTCTCCCACTGTAATCTGCATCTCAGAGGGATTCACACAGGTTTATATAGATCATGCCATGGTTTTCAAGTGGTCTGTATGACTTGAAAACCATGGCATGACCTATATAAGCCTTTGTGAATCCCTTCCCATCCCTCTGAGATGCAGATTACAGTGGGAGAAATTTATGGGTCCTTTAGAACACGACAACAAGCAGTGGATCACCCAATTCCCAGTTGCTTACATATAATTCGCCAGGTTGTGCTCCTCCAAGGTGTGGGTCTCAAAGCCGTGCGGCGTCGTGTCAAAATAGTCACTCCCGATTCCACAGATGAAACATTTGGTCTGTCAAGTCAAAATGGCCATGAGAAAAATGGTAACACCAACTCAGAGATTGATTTCTAGTTCCTCCTGAGAGCCTCCATCTTGGTTCCCCTCCCAGCCCTCAAACCAGTGCCAGACAGACCTCTGCAGCGCTGATCAGCCACCCAATGTTTTGATTAATTTATCAATTACAGTTGGCAACATAGAGTTGAAGAGTTCTTGGACTAGAGAAGGAGGTGGCAAGGATCTGAGCCAGCTTACCTCCATGTCTTCCTTCACCTGCTCCTGCTGGTCTCTCAGCTCCCCAAAGGCATCAATGATTAAACCTGGGGAGAGGGGAGAAGGTCACAGAGAGAAAGGAGAAAATGCCATCAGTACTGACCCCCACCTCCACCTCCCACATGAAACACCTCCCTGGGTGTCCTATAAGAGGTACCTGTCCAAGTGAGGGGATCACATAACTCACCTTGGATAATGGCCAGTAGGATGACAATGACAAAGAAGAAGAAGGTGATATCAAAGATGACGCGGTACAGCTCGTATTCATCACCTGCTGGGTCCTCAATCTCATCACCGATGCCCCCACCAGCCCGGACCCCAACATACATGTGAAATAGGTAGCACTGTATGGTGGAGAGAGAGGGGAAAAGATTCAGGGGAAATACAAGACAAAAACAGGGCATGGTCCCTACAACAAATCTTCCAAAATAACTTAATATTTCCCCCTACCCTTAATCCTTGGTGTTATTAAGTCCAGTGAAGCGAGGCACTTGCCGATACCGCCTTTGGGTGACAAGGAGCTTTTTGGACAAGGAAGGAAAGGACAGAGTGGCATTCCAATGATAATGGGCCAACCAACTGACACTCCATCACCCTTTGCCTACATCTGCTAGCCCTTCGTACTCCTTCAAATACAAGAACATCATTGGAAGGCTCCTATATTCTCTGATGCTATCCGTTCTTTGAGAGTGGTCCATTCCCTGCCCCTCTCCAGAGCCTTTTGCCCAGGGACATACCCCAGATGGGCACTGCCACCTCGGGCCTTCCGTTTCTTGAAGAAAAGGAAGGAAAAACCTGCTCCACGACATCAAGTAAAGCACAGAAAATAAGGCATTCGATTGAGTCGAGTCTCCCAATCCATATATTGAGATATATGGCCTCGAAAGAGAGGACAAAAACAAAAGAGTGACCCTGGCATCTTTCGGGGTCACGTGGGTTCTGTATTTTGGTTTTATATCCAGAGGGGTCTAAAAGGACAAAAGAGGGGCAAAACGTAGCCTGTTTCGGGCTCCTTTGCAATGGCCTAACCAACCAATCCTTTCTGCGTCCCAGACCCCCTCCATTTGGTTCTTTCTATTCACATCACTTTTTACAAAATCTTTTTGAAATGACATTTTAAAATTCAACCCCCTTCTCGGCCTTGATCTCCTTTGACGCCGTCCACTCCCTGCTCTGCTCTATTTTTCGGAAAACTCAGACACATATAAAATCTGCGACTCCTTTTAAAATAGCAGCAGGATTTTGTGGCCTTTGGCAAACTGCTGCTAGGAAAAGATCCATCCTTTAAGACCAGCTCAAACCCTCCATCGACATGATTCATTCCAGGAGTCAAAGGACCACAGAGTTTGGTGGATATTTGTATAGACTCCGTCTGCGTGTGTATAAATATATATGTATGCCATTCAACTCATAAAAACCTGAAAAGCCCAGGAGAGGGAGAACTGCTCTATTAAACACCCCTGGTCACAATTGATAGCTGGAAACCCCATCTTTAGACATAAATATATCTTTGAGGATCAGAGGCTGGGAGATATAAGTTGAAAAAGTTATTCTTCCAAGCTATTTTTATCTTGCTCCTTCACCTTGAATCTGGGGAGAAGATCACTGAGAAGAGACAGATGTTCTTTCAGAGTTAATGGAGGGATGGTCATTGTAAAGTTTTTATGATATCACACTTTGGCTGCAGTCCTTGTGTCAAAAAACTTTATCAGCAACAGTGGGATACAGTACATTTTGGATGTGCAAAAGAAGACCACATTGAGCTCTCTCAGAAATTGTTCCATGCTCCGTCCCCTGTCACTACATCTCTCTGCCTCCGTCTCACCGTCATCATGTCGTCACATTTCATGTCAGGCTCATCCTCATCCTCGCTCTTGTTGTAGAACTTGCGGAAGAAGTTGAAGGCGACTACGGTATAGAGGTACACAACCACCGCCAGCAGCCCCACCGTCATCATCAGCTAAGGAAAAATAATATATGCACAAAAGGAGTTTAGTGGAATTTCTTGGCACCATTTGTTGAGAGGGGTGTTTGCCTTTGTTCTCCTTCTGCGGGATGTATTTTCATTCACTGGGCCAAATTTGGCACATACCTGATATGCCCAAATTTGAATACTGTTGGGGGGGGGGGGGGATTGGTTTTTTCATTTGGGAGTTCTAGTTGCTGGGATTTATAGTTACCGTAATCTACAATCAAAGTGCATTCTGAACCCTCTTGCGGCAGAAAGAATACGACTTGCCCAAAGTCACTCAAAGTTTCCTTTGGCTAAGCAGGAATTTGAACCCTAGCTTCCCAGTATCTTATGCCAGAGTTCAAACCACTACACCTACCTGCGTGACCGCATCTCTGTATACGAACCCACATGATCTCTTCGATCATCTGGAGAGGCCCTGCTCGCGATCCCACCTGCATCGCAAGCGCGATTGGTGGGGACGAGGGACAGGGCCTTCTCGGTGGTGGCCCCTCGACTCTGGAACTCACTCCCCAAGGACATCAGGCATGCCCCAACGCTGGCAGTCTTTAGAAGGAGCTTGAAAACGTGGTTGTTCCAGTGTGCCTTCCCAGAATAAGGAAACTCCAAGCAATATGTCCCAAATGCATTTTACTAGAGATCTAGAATTGCTTGCACGACCCACCTAGCCCTAAAATATTTATCCTATTTCACCTGATCATGAAAAAGATTTTAAGCACTACATTTGGCCCTGCCACAGGTCTTAATGCACCGCGATGTTATTGTTTATGTTTTTTGCTTTGTTTATGAGTTTTTTATTGTATTGTTGTTGTTGTTGTGTTTTACTGATGTATTTGGGCTCGGCCTCTTGTAAGCCACACCGAGTCCTTCGGGAGATGGTAGCGGGGTATAAATAAAGGTTTATTATTATTATTATTATTATTACACCAAACTACTAGAATACATTTGCTTCAACCCAGCATGGTTTTCTAAAGTTCTTATGGTTTGCTTTTTCAATTTTCAAACCATGGATGCAGAATCTGTGCCAGCTAAAATCCAAAATAGCAACTTTCCTGAACATTGTTCCAGAGTGCTTCTCAAAGATGACCCAAGTTCACCTCTTGGCATTAAACAGCAAAGGGTTAAGGGTGCTCCCCAATGGCATCCTACCTGTTTGCCGTTGTGAGTGACAGAGGAGAGGATGGTCCGCAGCGTCTTGACCCCCATGGCGATGTCCAGGAGGTGGCAAGCAAAGAAGAAGTTGTTGTAGTGGCCGAGGGCAGACATCACCATGTACCAGAAGAGATACAGGAAGGACTGCAACGAGAAAGGGAGAGGACGTTGCAACGGAGGCAAGGTGGAGAGCCAAGTGAGTTCGTCAATGGTGTATTGTGTGTGGAGGATTCTTCAGTGACACAAGTCAGAAGGTTCCTCAGAAGGTCATCATATGTCAACAGAGCAGGTGACACTGAGAGGAATTGCCATCTTTCAGAAATCGGCAGCCAGACAAATCTGGATGATGTTATCTGGACCCTCAACTGCCCAGTCCCCAAGAAAAAGAGGATGAGTGAGTACCACTTGGGACAGTAAGTCATAACAGGAGGCTACTGAGGGGACCGGCTTCCTCTACATGGCTGTTTGCTAAAATGAGGCACCAACAGTTATAAGTAAAGGTAATCCCAGTGCTTAACGTCCTACACTTAACCAGCTATCTGGCCTTCAGCTGCATCTTTTCACTCACGTTGTCTGTGAAGATCACTCCAAACTTCCAGATCTTGTATTTGAGGTCAATGGAGGTGATCCTGAGGGAAAGAAAGGAGATGGGTGAGGCGGAAAGCCCATGTATACAAGCACATATACATATGTATGTTTTATTATGTACTAGCTTGGGGACCCAGTGCTGCCCGGGTTATTAGAGAAAGGCATTGTTTGTCTGTGCTCCAAGTTTAGTTTAGATCCAGTGTCAGCTGGATTTAGGGGGTACAGGTGAACTATAACTCCGATACGCAAGTCTCATCATCCATTGTACGTCCTCCCCCAAACAGTACCAGGATGTAGAGTGGGTGCCAAGTTTGGTCTTTATTGGTCATTGGATAACGGTCACAGTGCTCTCAAGAAGTGAGTAAAGGTACTCCAAGTCCCATCATCCATCATCCGTCCTCCCCCAAATGGTACCAGGATGTAGAGTGTGTCATGGGGGCTCTGTGTGCCAAGTTTGGTCTTTATTGGTGATTAGATAACGGTCACAGTGCTGTCAAGAAGTGAGTAAAGGTACTCCAAGTCCCATCATCCATTGTCCATCCTCACCCAAATGGTACCAAGATGTAAAGTGGGTCATGGGGGCTCTGTGTGCCAAGTTTGGTCTTTATTGGTCATTGGATGAGGGTCGCAGTGCTCTCAAGATGTGAGTGAAGGTACTGCAAGTCTCATCATCCATGGTTCACCCTCCTCCAAACTCCAATAGGATGTAGAGTGCGTCATGGGGGCTCTGTGTGCCAAGTTTGGTCTTTATCAGTCTCAGTTGGAGGCCACAGTGGTCTGTGGGAACCGAAGGGTTTGAAAGTACTACAAATCCCATAATCCATTGTCCAAACCTCACCAGGACGTAAAGGGGGTCATGGGGGTTATGTGTGTCAAGTTTGGTCCAGGTCTGTCACCCGTGATTGTCACAGTGGGCTGTGAAAGTGGCAGCCAATCAGAAAGCTGCCACATACACCTCCCTGAGTCCACCCTCCACATACATACATACGAACATTCACTTTTATTATATAAATAGATTGACCAAAAATGCAGCACAGAGGCAAGGGGTGTTGGATATGATTCGGGACAGAGATCATGGTTCAAGTCCCTACTGAGCTGTGAAACTGATTGGTGATCATTTAATCCGGCCTGGAAGTGGCTCTCTGCTGATTGGGCTTTTGGGCGCAAACCAAAATGTGCATGTAAAGGACCTATAGTTAGGTACACATGTAACTTAAAGCTATTACACTTTTTCTGCTTAACTAAGAATGGGACCAAGATATTTGCTGCGCTCAAACAACATCTGCCCACCCACTTTCCCCAGGTATGCCGTCGCACCTGGGGGCTATTATTCTCAATAAAGGAGGGATGGACGTGGCATCTTTCCCCAGGGAATTGCTTCTTGCCTTCCTATAGGAAACTGGAACTCTCAAAGACCCAAAACACTGTAAATAACTCAAAATAAGATTTATTGTTCACAAAGAGTTATTTCTTTAAAGAAGTGAGCTGGAAGCTTCAGAGGGGTGAAGGAAAATATACGTTACAGTCTCAGTTAGCCCTGGGTCCAAGGAGTTTGAAGCTGAGAAGCTTTTCCAAGTTTCCTCAATGGCTGTGAATGCCGGAGCAATCCACAACCCCAGTTCAAATGGCCTATGTTTGAAGACTCAGGATCTTCCTATGGTGCCAAAAGAACCGGTTTGAAGGCGMTTGAGACTTCCAACTTCGTTCAGGTTGGTCTGAACATGAAGCATAAGTCTCAAGGGTAAAAACCTAAGAATTGGTGCTGAGAGGTAATTTAATCAGGGTCTTTTAGAGTCAAGTCTCTTACTCACGTCCATCTGATAGAAACTCTGATGGCAGAATGAAAAAGGGAAGCACTCCCCTCCTCCAGGAAGAGGTGGGGCCAAACAATTGAGCTGAGAAAGCAATTCAACTGGTGCAAACAACATTGATTGACAGCTATAAATAATCAATCAATCCAACTATACATAAGCAGGGTAAAAAGGCAGGATTAAGAATGATATAACAGTTTAAATCTTGCAACTAACAGTTTATTTATTTATTTATTTATTTCAGTTACTTCTACCCCGCCCTTCTCACCCCAGAGGGGGACTCAGGGCGGCTTACAAAGGCACAATTCGATGCCGGCATCAACATAACAGTAGAATAAAAACAATATAGCAGCAATTAAACAATTAACAATCAGTTTCTGCACAGCAACAATAAAACCAATAAAAACCAATATAACCGATTTCACATAATTAACACTCAGCGTTCGCCATCTCATAGTCCAAATTCCAATTCCACTTTGTCAGTCCTGTCAGTCCTAGTCGTCTAATTGTCTTTATCTAGTTGTCAGATTGCTAGAAGGCCTGGTCCCACAACCACGTTTTTAATTTCCTCCTGAAGGAGAGGAGGGATGATGATGACCTAATTTCCCCCGGGAGTGAGTTGCACAGGTGAGGGGCCACCACTGAGAAGGCCCTGCTCCTCGTCCCCACCAACCTCACTTGTGATAGCGGTGGGATCGAGAGCAGGGCCTCCCCAGATGTTCTCAAACTCCAAGGTGGGACGTAGAGGGAGATGCGTTCGGACAGATACGCTGGACCGGAACTGTGTAGGGTTTTGTAGGTGAAAACCAGCACCTTGAATTGTGCTCGGAACTGAACCGGCAGCCAGTGGAGCTGACACAACAGGGGAGTGGTGTGCTCCCTGTATGGCGCTCCGGTGAGCAATCTGGCTGCCGCTCGCTGGACCAGTTGAAGTTTCCGAACAGTCTTCAAGGGCAACCCCATGTAGAGTGCGTTGCAGTAATCTATTCGGGATGTAACAAGAGCGTTGACCACTGTGGCCAGATCAGGCTTCCCAAGGTACGGGCGCAGCTGGTGCACAAGTTTTAATTGTGCAAAAGCTCTCCCGGCCACCGCCGAGACCTGGGCTTCCAGGCTCAGCGATGAGTCCAGGATCACTCCCAAGCTGCGAACCTGCGTCTTCAGGGGGGAGTGTAACCCCGTCTAACACAGGCTGTAACCCTAGACATAGGTGGCGCCACTCACGCTATCACACCAGGGGCATCACTAATTTTGCCCATCTTTCTCACCAAGTAAGAAAAGACTTGTCCGGCTCCGTTTTTTTCTCGTTCTGTGCTGAGATTTCCAGACTGGCCAAATCCATCCCCAGCAGTTCTGCAATTCTCTCCCGTCCGTAGATGTCTCCGTATTTATCAAGCACCTGCAGAGACAAAACACTTCAGATTTTGGAAAAAGCTGTCCTTGACTCCCCAAGAGAGGCTCTTGATTAGATTAACTACCTAAATATGAACCATTCCCTCCAACCCAATTGTCCACACATTCCTCACTAAAGATGTGGATGAAGTTTCCTGCAAGGCAGAAGGGGGTTGGACTGGATGGCCCTTGTGGTCTCTATGATCTCACCTTTCTCTTGATGAATTTATCCCAATAATTGCTCGGGAATGACCTGGCAAAGGAAAGAAATGGAGAAAAACATCAAAGAGGGTATATTACCACCTTCCACTGCTATCTAGGTCTGCCATACTGCCAAGAACTTGTTCTGCCCCAAGAACAGCCTCCTTCCCTTCTATGAATCCAGGTAGTTTCCCTTCCTCATCCCTCTGCATATATCCACAGCTGAATTTCATACAACACATTCACATGCTATGGAATGACCTCCTCAAAACACACCCAGGTGGCCTGCCATTTGGATAACTTTGGATAAACCTGTCAACAGCCCCTAACCATAATCACATGTGTAATCAATATTGACAGAGGTGTATTGTCGAAGGCTTTCATGGCCGGAATCACTGGGTTGTTGTAGGTTTTTTTTCGGGCTGTATGGCCATGGTCTAGAGGCATTCTGTCCTGACGTTTCGCCTGCATCTATGGCAAGCATCCTCAGAGGTAGTGAGGTCTGTTGGAACTAGGAAAAAGGGGTTTATATATCTGTGGAATGACCAGGGAGAGACAAAGGACTCTTGTCTGCTGGAGCTAAGTGTGAATGTTTCAACTGACCACCTTGATTAGCATTAGAAGACTACACAGAGAAGCCTTTGAAATACACAAGTATGTGGACAATTTCAACAGAAAGGAAGAGACCATGAAAATGAACAAAATCTGGCTACCTGTATTAAAAAACTGTAAACAGCACAACAACAGAGAGGAAACAACCAGGCACATCTTAACACCTCTCAGCAAGAGAATTTCCCAGGCTCAGCCAGGCCTTCAAATGCTAATGAAGGTGGTCAGTTGAAACATTCACACCTAGCTCCAGCAGGGAAGAGCTCCTTGCCCCACCCCAGCCATTCCACAGATATATAAACCCATTGTCCTAATTCCAACAGACCTCACTACCTCTGAGGATGCTTGCCATAGATGCAGGCGAAACGTCAGGAGAGAATGCCTCTAGAACATGGCTCTATAGCCCGGAAAAACCCCCAAGAACCTAGTGATTCCAGCCATGAAAGCCTTCAACAATAATTTATGCAATGCTTTTGATATGAAATAAATAAAATCTGCATATCTAAGGTTGTTCATGTTTTATCCAGCGATTTTAACTCCATCCTTGGATTCGTCAAGCCCCGCACATTGCATGATGTGTTCTGCATACAAGTTGAATAGGTTGGGGGAGAGTATGCAACCCTTCTGTACGCCTTTCCCAATCTTGAACCAGTCTGTTGTCTTCTAGTTCTTAGTCTTTCTTTCTGTCCCATTGGCCTCTCCAGGCCTGGATCCTCTTTGTAAGTAAGGATTCTGAGGGCAACACTCCTGCCATTCCAGCGGGGAAGCATGCGGGGAATGCGGAAGTGCTTCATTAGTGTCGCAGATGGACGATGAAAGCGACAGCTCCCTTGGCGGCCAGAAAAAGTTAAATAGCCTCTGTGTATGTCTGTATATCAAAAATTGGCATTGAATGTTTGCCATATATGTGTACACTGTAATCCGCCGAGTCCCCTGGGGAGTGAGAAGGGTGGAATATAAAAGCTGTAAATAAAATAAATAAATTGAAAATGTGTGTCTGTTTGTGCCTCATTTTGGTGGCCTTAGTTTTTTAAACATTCGAATGCTCCTTATAAGCTGCCGATTTGCTACCGGGCTCAATTCAAAGTGCTGGCGTTGGCCTATAAAGCCCTAAACGGTTCTGGCCCAAGCTACCTATCCGAACGTATCTCTGCCTATGAGCCCACCAGGACTCTAAGATCTTCTGGGGAGGCCCTGCTCTCGATCCCGCCTGCATCACAGGCACGGCTGGCGGGGACGAGGGACAGGGCCTTCTCTGTGGTGGCTCCTCGGCTGTGGAACATGGATATTAGATCAGCTCCTTCGCTAATGGTGTTTCGAAGAAAACTAAAAACCTGGCTGTTTGAACAGGCATTCGGATAAACAGGGCAATGAATACGATGAATATAGGAATGGAATTATGGCTGACGAATTGGATCACGACTCTAGTTATGAGACGTTAATGTGTTGTTATTGTTGTGTCACTACTTTGTATACTATGCTGTCAATGGTTTTTAAATTGTATGTTGTTATGATTGACTTTTGCTCTTGTTGTGAACCGCGTTGAGTCGCCTACGGGCTGAGAAACTGCGGTATACAAGCAAAGTAAATAAAATAAATAAATAAATAACCCCACCAAGCCTCATTTCCCATGACATCATATAGGGTTGTCTCGAGGTCTCCACATCTGTCCCTGAGCTCCCAGGGTCTGTGCTGGTCCTGACCTGGCAACCCCAGTTCCCCCCTTCCCTTCCCCATCCCGCAAAGGGACTCACGGGGCGTTGAGCACCAGGCGGTCCCACTGGCCTTTGATATCGTCGTCTTCGGGCTGCTCCGTGATGTAGAGCCCATCAAACTCCAGCTTGCGCGCCAGCTCCTTCTCCCGCTTGAAGATGACCAGGGGCACTTTGAGGCAGTTGTAGCCGATGATGCAGAGGAAGGCGACGAGGGTGTGGACGATGGACAGGAACTGCAAGGCCGGCTGCATGTAGCCCGTGCTCTCCTCCAGGAAGTAGTAGACCACGCTGTCCTCATCGTCCTCATCCCCGTTGCCGTTCCCATTGCCATCCCCACCATCATCGTCCCCGCCAAAGCCTGAGCCGCCGCCTGAGCCTCCATCCAGGTCTCCTTCAAGGCCAGAGCCTTCAAACTCCTCCTCGCCTGGAGGCGTTTCCGATACCTGAGCAATACAAGCATGAAGAGAGGAAGTTAGGCCAGAAAGGAGCCATGACCCAAAACAGGAAAATCCTATTTTCAGGCCTAGGAGTGATCCACTGAGCAGAAAAATCCTGACTTCCCCCCTCTTGTGGCTACCGGATTCCCATCATTGTGATGAATGCCCTCCCAGAGGTGTCACTTTCCCGCCTGGCAATGGTTTCATTCACAGATTCCAACCAGCCTCTTTGGTTTGGCATGTTTGTTTACAAAAATGCTTTGCTATAAAGTGCAATCAATGGGCTGCACGTGCTCCCCCCTTGCATCATGTTTGTGGCCCCCAAGGATAAAAAAATATTGGGTTGTTGTAGGTTTTTTCGGGCTATATGGCCATGTTCTGGATAGGTTTTTTCAGGCTATATGGCCATGTTCTAGAGGGCATTCTCTCCTGACGTTTCGCCTGCATCTATGGCAAGCATCCTCAGAGGTTGTGAGGTCTGTTGGAAGTAGGAAAAAGGGTTTATATATCTGTGGAATGACTAAGGTGGGACAAAGGACTCTTGTCTGTTAGAGCTAGGTGTGAATGATAAACAGAGGCTGGATGGCCATCTGTCAGGGGTGATTTGAATGCAATATTCCTTCTTCTTGGCAGGGGGTTGGACTGGATGGCCCATGAGGTCTCTTCCAACTCTTTGATTCTATGATTCTATGATTCTATAAATAAAGTAAGTAAGCAAACAAGCTTGTTTTCTGCTGCCCTGGAGACTAGGGAACAATGGCTTCAAACTACAAGAAAGGAGATTCCATCTGAACATGAGGAAGAACTTCCTGACTGTGAGAGCCGTTCAGCAGTGGAACTCTCTGCCCTGGAGTGTGGTGGAGGCTCCTTCTTTGGAAGCTGTTAAACAGAGGCTGGATGGCCATCTGTCAGGGGTGATTTGAATGCAATATTCCTGCTTCTTGGCAGGGGGTTGGACTGGATGGCCCAGGTCTCTTCCAACTCTTTGATTCTATGATTCTATGAACTGACCACCTTAATTAGCATTTGATGGCCTGGCAGTGCCTGGGGCAATCTTTTGTTGAGAGGTGATTAGATGTCCCAGATTGTTTCCTCTGTTGTAATTTTAGAGGGTTTTTTAGTACTAGTAGCCAGATTTTGTTCATTTTCATGGTTTTCTCCTTTTTTTTTGAAATTGTCCACATGCTTGTGGATTTCAATGGCTTCTCTGTATAGTCTGACATGGTGGTTGTCAGAGTGGTCCAGCATTTCTGTGTTCTCAAATATGCTGTGTCCAGGTTGGTTCATCAGGTGCTCTGCTATGGCTGACTTCTCTGGTTGAATTAGTCTGCGGTGCCATTCGTGTTCCTTGATTCGTGTTTGGGCAATGCTGCGTTTGGTGGTCCCTATGTAGACCATATACCATGCAGCTGTGGACAAGTCTAAATAGGGACCACCAAATGCAGCACCCAATCAGGGTCATCTAATCACCTCCCAACAAAAAATTGCCCCAGGCACTGCCAGGCCATCAAATGCTAATCAAGGTGGTCAGTTGAAACATTCACACCTAGCTCCAACAGACAAGAGTCCTTTGTCCCACCCTGGTCATTCCACAGATATATAAACCCATTTTCCTAGTTCCAACAGACCTCACAACCTCTGGGTCCCTCTGTAGACTTGTCCACAGCTGCATGGTATACGGTAGACTCCTGCAGAAGTGAGAGGATCCCTCTTGTCCTTTGCTGAACGTAGCATTTGTTGGATTTTCTTGGTGGGTCTGTAGATAGTGTGTATGTTGTGTTTCCTCATCAGCTTCCCTCTGCGGTCAGTGGTTCCCTTGCTGTATGGCAAGAACACTATTCCTCTGGGTGGATCTTCGTCTTGACTCTCGTGGCTTGTTCTCGGTTGTCTTGCAGCTCTTCTGATGTCTGAGGTGGAGTCTCCATTGGCCTGTAGAGCCCAGTTGAGGTGGTTCAGTTCATCTTGGAGGAGGTGGGGTTCGCAGATTCTTTTGCACGGTCTGCCAAGGCTTTAATGGTCCTTCTTTTTTGACTTGGGTGATGGTTGGAGTTTTTATGTAGAGATATCTATCTGTGTGTGTGGGTTTTCTGTAGACAGTGTGACCCAATTGTTGATCTGGTTTGCGGATGACTAGGACATCTAGAAAAGGCAGTCTTCCTTCATTTTCTTTTTCCATGGTGAACTGGATGTTTGGGTGGATGCTGTTAAGATAGTCCCGGGACCTGTTGAGTTCTTCTTCTCCATGGCTCCAAATGGTGAAAGTGTCATCCACATATCTGAACCATAATTGTGGGCTTTTTGGTTGCTGTCTCCAGGGCTTGTTTTTCAAAGTGTTCCATGTAGAAATTAGCTATGACTAGAATGCCTCTAGAACATGGCCATATAGCCCGAAAAAACCTACAACAACCCAATGATAAAAATACCTCCACTCCTTAGAGGACATTGTTATAACATGGCACATTCCCCCAAACTACAGCAGAGGGGTTAATGGCCTGACCTTCACTTTGGAAGTAGCCAGACCTTACTGAATATTTACCCCCCTTTGTAACTTTTCCGTTCCACCCACAACCCTGCTCTTATTCCCCCACAACCCATTTTCAAGTTTATTACCTTGTAGAAAAGCAAGATGAAATTGATCGCGAAGGCCAAGAAGAGGGCAAGGAAGCGGAGGTTGTAGAAATTCCTAGACAGATAGTTCTGAAAAGAAGAGTGAATCAGTGTAAGATGTACCATCCTTCGACACACTCAAGACCAAAAACTTTAGGGAAAGAAAACCCATGTTTTGACTCTTCCCAAAGAAAATTAGATCTCACAATATATAGAAGTACGCCATGGTTGCTGTCTCTGCAAAAATAAATCCTATTTTGCAATAGGCAATAAAGAGACTAGGGAAAGGCATGGATGCGGCCCCTTCCCGACTGTAAACGTCTGCTATCTATGTAAATAAAAATGTAATGTTCGTTTGTGGGATTAACAGAACTCAAAAACCACTGGACGAATTGACACCAAATTTGGACACAAGACACCTAACAACCCAATGTATGTCCTTCACTCAAAAAAAATTGATTTTGTCATTTGGGAGTTGTAGTTGCAGGGATTTATAGTTCATCTACAATCAAGGAACATTTTGAACCCCACCAACGATGGAATTGAACCAAACTTGGCACACAGTTGTCCCATGACCAACAGAAAATACTGGAAGGGTTTGGTGGGCAGTGTCCTTTGGTTTTGGAGTTGTAGTTCACCTACATCCAGAGAGCACTGTGGACTCAAACAATGATGGATCTGGACCAAACTCCACACGAATACTCAATATGCCCAAATGTGAACACTGGAGGAGTTTGGGGGAAAATAGAATCTTGACATTTTGAAGTTGTAATTGCTGGGATTTATAGTTCACCTACAATCACAGAGCATTCTGAACCCCACAAACAATAGAATTGGGCCAAACCTCTCACACAGAACCCCCATGTGGGCCACAGCACACGCGCGGCAAGGGACGGCTAGTAATAATAATAATACTTTATTTATACCCCGCCGCCATCTCCCCAAGGGGACTCACGACGGCTTACATGAAGCCAAACCCAGCAATACAGCAAAGCTATATACAACAAAACACAGCAGTAAAATATAAAGAAAATAAATATAAAATATAAAATCACAACATTTAAAACACAAAAAATTAATCACAGTGGGCAGGGCTGGTTTCAATAAATTTAAAATTTAAAAACACTGGATTGAGAGGGCAGGGTAATATATCTGGACAGGGAATCTACTCTTCCCAGGGTGATTTGAGGGAAGAGAGGAGTAGCCAAGTAATGACTACTCTGGAATCCCACATCCTCCAAAGCTCCTTGAACCAAATAGACTCACCAGAAATTTTATCCTCTGGATTTCCAGCTCGTTCCAAAATTCTGAGCCTGCTGCCTCGGACTCCTTCTTCTCCCGCTGTGTCACCTTCTTCTTCTCCTTCACTGGTTCTGTGGGTGTTTCTTCTTTGGGCTCGTCTTCTTTCTCCTCCTCTTTCTTCTTCTCCTCTTCCTCCTCCTTTGCTGCCTTTTCACCATTCTCAGCACTAGATGGGAAGGGAAATAGTCATGATTCACCTACTCCCATAGCGTTTTTGACCACAGCATCATATTTACAGTGAAAAATCCTGTTAGAACTTCAAAAAGTTGGTGTTTGGAGCAACTTCATAGGAACTCCCAGCCAGTGTGAGAAGCTTTGACTCTCCTATTCCATCCGGAATTGAAATTCTGGGCACCACAATTGAAGAGAGATATTGACAAGCTGGAGGGTGACTAAAATGATCAAGGGTCTGGAGAACAAGCCCTATGAGGAGCAGCTTAAAGAGCTAGGCATGTTTAGCCTGAAGAAGAGAAGGCTGAGAGGAGACATGATAGCCATGTATAAATATGTGAGAGGAAGTCATAGGGAGGAGGGAGCAAGCTTGTTTTCTGCTTCCCTGGAGACTAGGACGCAATGGAACAATGGCTTCAAACTACAAGAGAGGAGATTCCATCTGAACATGAGGAAGAACTTCCTGACTGTGAGAGCCGTTCAGCAGTGGAACTCTCTGCCCCGGAGTGTGGTGGAGGCTCCTTCTTTGGAAGCTTTTAAACAGAGGCTGGATGGCTATCTGTTAGGGGTGATTTGAATGCAATATTCCTGCTTCTTGGCAGAATGGGGTTGGACTGGATGGCCCATGAGGTCTCTTCCAACTCTAGGATTCCATGATTAATCGTTAGGAGCTTTTCTAACGAGGTTACCCATACATGTCCAATAATCAGGACTAGACACTTAATAGTTTTCAAAATACACACCACAAACAATAATATTTTTGTTCCTACTACTTGTGGGCTTGTAGGATACATGTAAGAACCATGAGGCTCTTCCCACTGCGTTCTCTCTCATACGTACACACCACCACCACTCACTCAGCTTTCTCTGCTTCTACAGGAGGCTCTTCAATCTTCTCTGGCTCCACTATTTCTTCCTCTCCGTCCACCTGCAGAGGAAGAAGTCAAGTCAGGGATTTATTACAGCAAGAGAGTGGAGGACAAAACACATGCACGTGTGCTCAGCCAAGAAGGGGAAATATTGTACACTAGCTGTACCCGCCATGCGTTGCTGTGGTCAACCTTCCCTCCCTCGTTCTCTCCTTCTTTCCCTCCTTCCTTCACTCCCTCTTTCCTTCCTTTCCTTTTTTCTTTCCTTCTCTACCTCTTTCTTTCCTTCTCCCCTTTTTCTTTTCCTTCCCTCTTTCTCTCCACTCTTCCTTCTCTAGCTTTCTTTCCTTCCTTCGCTTTTTGCTTCCATCCTTCCTTCTCTCTTTCCTTCCCTCCCTTTTTTTCTCCTTCTTTCACTCCTTCCTTCACTCCCTCTTTCCTTCTCTACCTCTTTCTTTCCTTCTCCCCTTTTTCCTTTCCTTCCCTCTTTCTCTCTATTCTTCCTTCTCTAGCTTTCTTTCCTTCCTTCGCTTTTTGCTTCCATCCTTCTGTCTTTCCTTCCCTGTCTTTCTCCCCTTTCTTCTTTCTCTACCTCTTTCCTTCCTTCCTTCGCTTTTTTCTTTCATCCTTCCTTCTCTTTCCTTCTTTCCTTCCCTCCCTCTTTTTCTCCTTCTTTCCCTCCTTCCCTTTCTTTCTCTTCCTTCCTTTTTTCTTTCTTTCTCTCCTTCCTTCCTTCTCTACCTCTTTCTTTCTTTCTTTCTTTCTCCCCTTTTTCTTTTCCTTCCCTCTTTTTCTCCATTCTTCCTTCTAGAACTTTCTTTCCTTCCTTCACTTTTTGCTTTCATCCTTTCATCTTTCCTTCCCTTTGTCTTTCTCTCCTTTCTTCCTTCTCTACCTCTTTCCTTCCTTCCCTCGCTTTTTGCTTCCATCCTTCCTTCTGTCTTTCCTTCTGGAACATGTTTTCTCTCCTCTTTCCCTCCTTCCTTCACTCCCTCTTTCCTTCCTTCCCTTTTTCTTTCCTTCTCTCCTTCCTTCCTTCTTTACCTTTCCTTCCTTCCCCCCTTTTTCTTTATCTTCCCTCTTTCTCTCCATTTTTCCTTCTCTAGCTTTCTTTCCTTCCATCGCTTTTTGCTTCCATTCTTCTGTCTTTCCTTCTTTCCTTCCCTCTCTCTTTCTCTCTATTCTTCCTTCTCTAACTTTCTTTCCTTTCTTCACTTTTTGCTTCCATCCTTCTGTCTTCCCTTCCCTCTGTCTTTCTCTCCTTTCTTCTTTCTCTACCTCTTTCCTTCCTTCCTTCGCCTTTTGTTTCCATCCTTCCTTCTCTCTTTCCTTCTTTTCTTCCCTCTCTCTTTCTCCTTCTTTCCCTCCTTCCTTCGCTCCCAACTCAAAATGTGTATAATACGGCTAGCTGGAGACAAGGAACATTGCAGACTAAACATCTGAAGGACACCAAGTTAAGGAAAGCTGATCTCTAACCCAAAGCATAAGAATTCCTACCACCACCCAGATACCATCTCAAGCCCTGAACATACTCCTAGTTTCCTCTTAAGGATGGGCGATCCTTCAGGCGTAGGTGGTTCCACAGGGGTCGTATCTCCCATATCTCCAAGCCCACCAGGTGGGTCTGCACCCATGGGCCGGAAATGCTCTTTCTTGTCGCCTTCTCCTTCGGCAGGTGCCTCCTCCGTGCCAGGTTCAGCCATCTCTATTTCTTCCCCTTCTTCCGCCGCTTGTTCCACCTCTTCAGACGGGGCCACGTCTCCGTGCACCTCGTCCTGCGTGGGATCAGGCATGCTGGCCAGCAGCTCCGTCACCGTGATCTTCTTGGCCTCTTCCACCAGGCCACCTCCGAAAAGCGTGTTCCAGATGAGGAGGAAGATGCCCTTGAAGATGTTGTAGAGGAAGAAGAGGATGCCCATCAAAATGGTGTAGACGAAGGTGGCAATGCCCATGGCCATCTCCTTCACCGTCATCTTCTTGACTTTACGGAACTGCCGGCGGATGTTGCGGTACGTGAACATCCGGAAAAAGTTCAGGACACTTTCCAGAAACTCCCCAAAAGCCGAAGAAGCCTCTGCCGGCGTCGATGCCTTCTCAGCTTCCCCTGCGTCGGCCCCTTCTTCTTCATCCTCCTCTTCCTCCTCCTGCCCTTCCTCCTCAGAAATTTGTGCTGCGATCTGCATCTCAAAGATGGTGTCCTCACAAAAGTTGATGAAGAGCTCCATCTTCTCTGACTCTCCCCCTTCATTGACCACATCGAAGATGAACTGCCGCTTGGACTCCTTGACTTGTGGCATTTCCCACTGGGTCTTGTTGGTCTCGCTGATCTCAAAGTAGATGCGCTCAATGCGCTTGCTGGCCCCCATGATCTCAATGCGGCCCAGGTAGGGGCTGAAGTAGTTGATGATGCACTCCGCCAGTTCCAAGAAGGTCTTGAGGCGGTTGTCGTGAGGCATGTGCTCAGAGAGGTTGGTCAGCAGCACAGCGATATTGAAGCCAATGTCTTTGGCAGGCTCCTGGAAGCGGTTGGCGAACTCCTCGTAATCAATCATCTCATTCTCATCGGCCTCCGAGCAAGAGAGCAAGAACTGGATCTCAGATGGGGTGTACTGCTTCTGACTGTCCATAGCTTTCTGGAAATCCTTCTTTGATATGAGCCCGCGAGGATCTGTAATGTAATCCCGGAAGGCGTCCGAGGCCACAATGTCCTTCAACTTCAGGAACATATCAAAGAACTTGAGAATCATCTCTACGTTGCTAGAGGATTCTACCAACATGTCCACCATCTGCCGGGCGATGGTGCCATTCACCACATTTCCTGAGTAGATACACAAAAGAGTAAGAAGTTAGGCATGGGAGAGAATATTTATTATTATTATTATTTAGCAATATGATGTTTTTAATGACTGTTTGTGATATTACTGTTGGAAACCGGCCTGAATCCCTCTGTCTTCTCACCTCTGTCGAGGGATTCAGACCGGTTTCCAACAGTAATATCACAAACAGTCATTAAAAACATCATATTACATATTAAGCTAAAACATTAAAATAGCAATGCAGTCAAATAATTACAATGGTCAGTCGTCACAATAAAATTGTTGTTCGTCATTCGTCATCATCCATCCATATCACAGAATATTGACTCACTCGTCGAATGCCAATTTCCAGAGCCAAGTTTTCACCTGTTTTCTGAATGTCAAGATAGAAGGGGCAGTTCTGATCTCCAGTGGGAGAAAGTTCCAGAGCCGAGGGGCCACCACCGAGAAGGCCCTGTCCCTCGTCCCCACCAGATGCGCTTGTGAGGCCGGTGGGACCGAGAGCAGGGCCCCTCCAGACGATCTTAACAATCTTGATGGTTCATAGGGGAGAATACGTTCGGACAGGTAAACTGGGCCGGAGTCGTTTAGGGCTTTATAGGTTAACACCAGCACTTTGAATTGTGCTCGGAAGCTAATTGGCAGCCAGTGGAGCTGGTGCAACAGAGGAGTAGTATGCTCCCTGTACCCTGCTCGTGTTAGTATTCTGGCTGCTGCTTGTTGGACTAGTTGGAGCTTCCGGGCAGTCTTCAGAGGCAACCCCACGTAGAGAGCGTTGCAGTGGTCTAAACGGAATGTAACCAAAGCGTGGACCACCGTGGCCAAGTCGGACTTCCCAAGGTATGGGCGCAGCAGAAATACAAGTGGCAGATGGGATGGTGTTGAGCCTTGTAAGATGGATGCATGGAAAGATGTGTGGTGTGCGTCCCTTAATTGGACACAGGGGCGGCTCAACCATTATGCAAAGTAAGCATTCGCAGTATAGTTGATTTTGCCCAGGGGCGCTCTTGAGGCGCTCTTGGGGGAAAATAGACGTTGACATGTGCGAGTTGTAGTTACTGGAATATATAGTTCACCTACAGTCAAAGAGCATTCTGAACTCCACCAATGATGGAATTGAACCAAATATGGCACACAGAACTCCTATGATGAACAGAAAATATGTATCAAAGATTTGTTGAAACCACCAGGTCTTCAAGCTCTTACGAAAGGAGGGGAGGGATGGGGCCTGTCTTATTTCCCTTGGAAGGGTGTTCCAGAGATGGGGGGCCACCACAGAGAAGGCCCTCTCTCTCGTCCCCACCAACCATGCTTGAGACGGTAGTGGGACCGAGAGGAGGGCCTCCCCAGAAGATCTTAGAGCTCGTGCCGGTTCATAGAAGGAGATGCAATCGCGGAGATAGGCGGGGCCTGAACCGTTTAGGGCTTTATAGGTCATGACCTGCACCTTGAATTTGGCTCGGCAACTTATTGGCAGCCAATGAAGCTGTTTTAATAGGGGTGTTGTATGCTCCCTATCGTTTGCTCCAGTAAGGAGCCTGGCTGCCGCCCGCTGTACCAGTTCAAACTTCCAGGCCGTTTTCAAGGGCAGCCCCACGTAGAGCACATTGCAATAGTCCAGTTTGGATGTAACCGAGGTGTGGACCACCCTGGCCAAGTCAGGCTTCACGAGGTATGGTCGCAGCTGGCGCACAAGTTTGAGTTGTGCAAAGGCCCTCCCGGCCACCGCTGACACCTGAGCATCAAGCGACAGCATTGACTCCAGGAGGACCTCCAAGCGACGGACCTGTGCCTTCAGGAGGAGTGTAATCCCGTCGAGCACAGGTTGCCACCCAATACCCCGATCAGCCATGTGACTGACCAGGAGGACCTCTGTCTTGTCTGGATTAAGCTTCAACCTGTTAGCCCTCATCCAGTCCATTACAGCTGTCAAGACACTGATTCAGGGTCTGGAAGGCTTCCTTGGAATTCGGTGGAAATGAGTAGTAGAGTTGGGTGTCGTCTGCGTACAGATGGCACCCAACTCCAAAACTCCGGATCACCTCACCCAGCGGTTTCATGTAGATATTGAAAAGCATGGGGGATAGAATGCAACCTTGCGGGACCCCACAGGTCAAAGGCCAAATGCTCACCTTCCAATAGGGACAGCAGCATTACTACCATGTCCTTCTGCAGATCCAGCAGCTCCTTCAGGAGGCCAATTTGGCTTGCATCCTGGAGTGTAGGGGAGCAGGAGATATTGAGCATCACGAGACAAATCCACATCTCCTCTCACGACTTCCTAAGCATCATTTGAAGGCCTATCTCACCCTTCCCCAACCTGGAGTCTACTTTTCAGCCAAGGTAAGGGTGGCCTCATGCACACCTCTTCCCCTTTCAAGTACAGCCCACATCCATATCTATGCTCTTCCTCCCTTCCCTACTATGCTTTCCAACAGAGATTGGAAACCAGGCCCCAGTTAAGGAAGCTCCTACTTCAGTCTACTATAGGGTGAAGTTCTCCCCTTGCAATGTACAAAGGAAGCATGACAGTCTTAATATAGCCAGTCTCCATTTCTAGTTCTCTTTGGAGAACTAGCTGACTGAAGATCTACTCCAAAGAGATATGGAACGGGTTCAGAGACGAGGCATGTTTCCTTCCGTTGGAGAAGGGGGTGACTCCCGTCTTACCTCGGGGTAGGATTCACTCCGAAATTGATCCTCATGGGCAGCGCAACAAAGAGATAATTTTGGTGAGGGAAGCAAGTACATCCATCGTGCTTCCAACTGTTGAGACCCAAATGCTAGATCTAACTTCACCCCAGTCTCACCTCCTTGTGAGCTAAGAGAAAGCTGTAGTAGAAGACCTCTCCCTACTTCAGACCATGGAAAAGTTACAGCTGGCTTGGACGGTTGGGAGATTCTGGGGTCTACGGTTCAAAAAACAACATCTCCCAGCTCCATGGTTCACTTCCATTCCTCTCCGGTCTCCAGGAACCAATATCCTTGGTATACCCACCCTGCAAACTCCTAATGGGCTTAAGCCAGTCCTGTCTTTCCCCCAAAGATTTTTGGGAACTGTAATTTAGTTAAAATATTGAGAATTGTATTATCTACTCAGATCCTGTCTGAGAGAATTACAGTTCCCAGGGTTCCATGTGAGAGACAAGGACCATTGAACCAGTTTAGTTCTGGAGTACAGAAATGCTTCAACTATCAATATAAGTAGTAATAATATTGTCTTTAGTTTGGGAACAATATTGAACAGGGTTTTTACCAGCTGCAACTCCCAAATGGTTTGAGTTGAGAATTAGGCTGACCTCACGTATCTAGACGCATTCCCTCCCTCTTGGCCCCCCAACATCCACAGTATGACAAAATGAGCTAGGATGGGGCATGAGCCAACAAACTAAAGCAATGGCCATGCGTGGCACTTTCGACAACCCGCTTAATGAGGATGGTCATTGGAGTAGGTGGGACAGAGAGTTGGAAGAACATGGAGAATCAGAAAGGAAAGGAAAAGAAAGGAAAGGAAAGTCTGGGAGATGAGCAAGCACCAGCCATGGCAGCGACAGAGAAGTAAACAGACCAGACCAATGGCGATGTTTCTATGCTGTGAAGAACCTATGGTTCTTGTTTTCCTAGCTCTCCCTAGAATCATAGAATCAAAGAGTTGGAAGAGACCTCATGGGCCATCCAGTCCAACCCCCTGCCAAGAAGCAGGAATATTGCATTCAAATCACCCCTGACAGATGGCCATCCAGCCTCTGTTTAAAAGCTTCCAAAGAAGGAGCCTCCACCACACTCCGGGGTAGAGAGTTCCACTGCTGAACGGCTCTCACAGTCAGGAAGTTCTTCCTCATGTTCAGATGGAATCTCCTTTCTTGTAGTTTGAAGCCATTGTTCCGTGTCCTAGTCTCCAAGGAAGCAGACAACAAGCTTGCTCCCTCCTCCCTGTGGCTTCCTCTCACATATTTATACATGGCTATCATATCTCCTCTCAGCCTTCTCTTCTTCAGGCTAAACATGCCCAGCTCCTTAAGCCGCTCCTCATAGGGCTTGTTCTCCAGACCCTTGATCATTTTAGTCGCCCTCCTCTGGACACATTCCATCTTGTCAATATCTTTCTTGAATTGTGGTGCCCAGAATTGGACACAATATTCCAGGTGTGGTCTAACCAAAGCGGAATAGAGCATGGGGAGCATGACTTCCCTAGATCTAGACACTATGCTCCTATTGATGCAGGCCAAAATCCCATTGGCTTTTTTTGCCACCACATCACATTGTTGGCTCATGTTTAACTTGTTGTCCACGAGGACTCCAAGATCTTTTTCACACGTACTGCTCTCACGCCAGGCATCGTCCCATATTCTGTATCTTTGCATTTCGTTTTTTCTGCCTAAGTGGAGTATCTTGCATTTGTCCCTGCTGAACTTCATTTTGTTAGCTTTGGCCATTCATCTCTCTAATCTGTCAAGATCGTTATGTATCCTGCTCCTGTCCTCTGGAGTATTGGCTCTCCCTCCCAATTTGGTGTCGTCTGCAAACTTGATGATCATGCCTTCTAACCCTTCATCTCAGTCATTAATAAAGATCCTGAACAGGACCGGGCCCAGGACGGAACCCTGCTTGTGGCACTCCGCTCGTCACTTCTTTCCAAGATGAAGAGGAGGCATTAGTGAGCACCCTCTGGGTTCGCCCATCCCTGCAGGGATGAAGGCAAGAGGCCATAAAAGGCCTTGCAGAAGGTATTGAGCAACCACCCTCCCGATTACCAGGCATGCTGATGTGACTTGGGATCCCAGTAACATCTGGAGAAAAACAAATTTCACACCTCTGATTGAATACAACCTCTCTGAAGCCACGGAGCTCTATGTGTGTTTGTGAGATATCCAGAAGTGAGGAACTAGCGGAGGCTTTCATTATTCTGCATAGCTTTTTGCCTTTCTCGTAACTAGGAAAGCTATAATCATTAAAATTATTCCACATTCAATAAATTATAGACACTTGCAGTCTTCAAAATTATGCAAATCTACCTCATGCTCATGATTGATACTGGTCATAAAATCCATCTCTCACACTTCCATCTGTGCTGAATTTGGACTGCCTGGCTGAAATTTTTTAATTTGGCCTGGCTTTAGAGGGAACTTTGGTCTTCATCACACTTGAGCATTTATTTATTTATTTGCAGTATTTATATTCCACCCTTCTCACCCCACAGGGGACTCAGGGCGGATTACAATGTACATATACATGGCAAACATTCAATGCCATAGACACGCAACATATATAGACAGACACACAGAGGCTATTTAACATTCCAGCTTCATGAGGGTATTATTTATTATTTATTATTATTATTATTATTATTATTATTATTATTATTATTATTATTAGCTTTATTTCTATACCGCATTTTTCAGCCCGATTAGGCGAAAAATGGCCACCAGGGGAGCTGTTGCTTTGCTGTCCATTTGTGACATTGATGGAGTACTTCCTCATTCTTTTGCTTGCTTGCTGGAGATTTTTATGGCATTGTAAAATTTGTTAAATTAGCCTCCCTGCATAAGCTGTACCTAAATTTCTTACTGACAGATGCAACTGTCTATTGGGCTGCAAAGGTGGACAGCAAGCTATGCAATGGTTGGAAGCTCACTCCGACCTGGGCTGGCTTCGAACTCATGACCTTTTGGTCAATAGTGATCTTAATGCAGCTGATTCCCAGCCAGCTGCACCACAGTCCCTGTCAACTGTGCACTTTAATCCACTTTAAATGCTATGACTGCATCCTGCAGAATTATGGGGTGTGTAGTTTAGGGGGAGTCCTTTAAACTGCTCATCCATAGAAGCCCTGGGCCTCCCTAAACTACAAACCCCAGAATTCTGCAGGAGGAAGTAACAGCATTTTAAGTGGATTCAAGTGGAGAAATGCTCAAGTGTGACGAGGCCTAATTTATTTCGGCACTAGTTTTTCAGGATGTAGCTATCACAGTCTTGCTTCAATACAATAAAGAAGTGGGAGAAACTGTTAGGGATTCCTCATCTTCAGAGGAAGAAGGGGAGCAAGGAAGTGCTCAGATATTGGAGGGAGAAGAAGAATCAGTTGATGAGGTTTGAAAGTGCCCACGTTTCTAGAGAGACGAAAAGAGACAGAGCACAGATGGCATTCTGCTAGGATAGCTGCTAAAAACACTAAAAATAGCAGCTAATTGGGAGACGCCCTAGCACCTCCTGCGTGGGGAATTCAGGGCTATAAATCAGTAGCAGGAGTAGTCAGCTTTCGCTAGTAACAACGACCCTGATACGGATGTTTTCACTCCAATGGAATCTGCTTTGTGTCTGCTGCTAAAAACTTAGTTCATCGTCCTTGCTCCCCTTCTTTCGGAGGAGGAAGGGGATCAAGGAAGTGCCCAGGAATTGGAGGGAGAAGAAGAACCAGATGATGAGGGTTTGAAAGTGCCCACATTTCTAGAGAGACAAAAAGAGACAGAGCACGGACGGTGTTCTGCTAGGATAGCTGCTAAAAATGCTGAGCTAATTGGGAGACACCCTACCACCTCCTGCGTGGGGAATTCAGGGCTATAAATCAGTAGCAGGAGTAGTCAGCTTTTGCTGGTAACAACAACACTGATACGGATACTTTCACTCCAATGGAATCTGTTTTGTGTCTGCTGCTAAGAACTTAGTTCATCGTCCATTGTCTGATGGAAGACTAGTGTTTCTTTTGGGGCTTTGTAAGAGACTTTAATTTGTGTTTGGATTAAGACTTCCTTGCTTTCATTTGCACTTTTCAATTGCATTTGCTTATCTTTTGTTTTTGCTAAAGTAAAGCATTTTTCTTTTACTTTCAACGTTGTCTAAAGGCTGTTTTTGAAGGGCAACTCAGGACAGAAACGAATACACAAAATGGAATCTGGCACGACCTTTGCATTAGCAATACATCTGTTTCCCAAAAGCCAGTTCTCTTGAAGTTATTCTTATAGGTAACACTAGATCCCACCTCTCCATTTTTTGTTTTCGTTTTGTCACTGTTGACATCTCCTCGTCATTACACCCAAATGTTGGAGACCTAACCTAAATGCGACAGCAGGAGAGAGAAGACGGAAACAAGTTACTAAGTTAAATCACAAAGGTTGCAGTGCATGGCTTTACTTTTTGGAGAGAGGGCTGAGGAGTTTGTTAAAACTGGTCTGGTCCAATCAAAAGGAAGGTAGAGAAAGTGGGTGGGAAAGCAGTAAAGAGTAAGCAGGAGAGAAGAGGAAGAGTTAGAAAGGAAGGAAGGAGGATGGAAGGGAAGGTGGGCGCAGCCAGAGTGCGTTGGCGTGGGATGGCCACATACTACATAAAAGGTTCTTACGCCATTTCGAAGTCCTGGGGGTTGGGTCATCTGTCACACATCAGAACAAAAATGTTATTTAGAAACATTTTCCAGAACATTTTTGTATTTTTGCCAGGTTTACCATCCAGCACATTCCTTTATACGGCTCGGAGTGGGGCTCAGCTGCCTTCCCGCTGTGGGAAGGAATAGCGTGAACAGGTGGCAATAGGATTGGATCAGAGCAATGGGATGTATTGTCGAAGGCTTTCATGGCCGGAATCACTGGGTTGTTGTTGGTTTTTTCGGGCTATATGGCCATGGTCTAGAGGCATTCTCTCCTGACATTTCGCCTGCATCTATGGCAAGCATCCTCAGAGGTCGTGAGGTCTGTTGGAACTAGGAAAATGGGTTTATATATCTGTGGAATGACCAGGGTGGGACAAAGGACTCTTGTCTGCTGGAGCTAGGTGTGAATGAACAAAATCGAACTGTAGAGTGTGGTGGAGGCTCCTTCTTTGGAAGCTTTTAAACAGAGGCTGGATGGCCATCTGTCAGGGGTGATTTGAATGCAATATTCCTGCTTTTTGGCAGGGGGTTGGACTGGATGGCCCATGAGGTCTCTTCCAACTCTTTGATTCTATGATTCTAATGGCCTGGAAATGCCTGGAGCAATCTTTTGTTGAGAGGTGATTAGATGTCCCTGATTAGATGTCCCTCTGTTTAAAGGCTTCCAAAGAAGGAGCCTCCACCACATGCTAATCAAGGTGGTAAGTTGAAACATTCACACCTAGCTCCAGCAGACAAGAGTCCTTTGTTTTCCCTCTGCTGTTTTGCTCTTTTAATTTTAGAGCCAGATTTTGTTCATTTTCATGGTTTCCTCCTTTCTGTTGAAATTGACCATATGCTTGTGGATTTCAACAGCTTCTCTGTGTAGTCTGACATGGTGGTTGTTAGAGTGGTCCAGCATTTCTGTCTTCTCAAATAATATGCTCTGTCCAGGTTGGTTCATCAGGTGCTCTGCTATGGCTGGAGACCATGAAAATGAACAAAATCTGGCTACCAGTATTTAAAAAACTCTAAAATTAAAACAGCAAAACAGCAGAGGGAAAACAATCAGGGACATCTAATCACTTCTCAACAAAAGATTGCTCCAGGCACTTCCAGGCTATCAAATGCTAATCAAGGTGGTAAGTTGAAACATTCACAGACAAGAGTCCTTTGTCCAACCCTGGTCATTCCACAGATATATAAACCCATTTTCCTAGTTCCAACAGACCTCACTACCTCTGAGGATGCTTGCCACAGATGCAGGCGAAACGTCAGGAGAGAATGCCTCTAGAACATGGCCATATAGTCCAAAAAACCTACAACAACCCAGAGCAATGGGATGTTTGCACTGACCTCTTCTTCCAGTGGAAGAATCCCCCCACAAGAGGAGCAAGACCATCAGGGGCCTGTCTGGTTGTTGCTGGTCCACGAACCCCGTGAAGCCTGGGCTTACAAGACCTAGAACCGTGTGGCTGTATAATCAAGAGAGCATTTGAATTCTCTCCCTTAAGCTCTGACACTTCTCTCTCCTACGGAGCATATGCAGAGGACACTATCTTGCAGCTTATATCCCAGTAGGTGGAAAGCTTTGGCAGGAATGCTGCTGCATTTCGCCCTTGCTTCCTTCCTTCCTTCCTCTGTTTAGATTTTGTGCCTTTTGTCAAAACAACAGAGGTCTGGGGCCCACGTTTATCCCCTGGTGCCTCCCAAGGGCCACACAGACTACCAGAACGTTCTCAAAAATTAGTATGTTTGATGTTAAAACAGTACAGGGAAGATTTAAAAGGTAAATTGTGGCACGTGGAGGCTTTCGGAAACCGCGTTTGGGACAAAAGGGGGATTCTGGAGGGGGTCAGGAGCCACAAAAAAACATCATGCTTTGCCTGCCTCTGCTTTAGCATCACAAAAAAGGTAAAGGAGCAAGAAACATCTGCATTCTTTGTGAAATTCCAGGTGTTTTCCAGGGTGGAGGGGAAGCATTCATAATAGAGAGGGAAGGAACGAGGGGAGCACTTGCGCTGGTTCGGTCAGGCTGAACGGTAGTGTTGTGGAATAAAGGAAGGCCAGATGGTGAAATACAAAAATGGTCCTTTTCAAGGGAAATGCCCAAAGCCGTTGCTAAGGTCGGGAGGAGGGCAAGGACGGGGGGAGGCACAGAGCAGGCGAGCCTGAGGTTAGTGCAGAGATTAAAAGGGAGACCGCACCCCACACGACCCTCTTTCCCAGCTCATGCTTCCAGGTATCTCTGACCTCTCTGCTTGTCACTCTCCCAATAATTCGTGAGAAGACAGGAAGAGCTTGGACCCAGATCCCAATCGCCCTGGGGCTACACTAAGAGTGAGCAATTCTGATGACAGGTCCAGATTTTGACCCCCCAGTTGGACCATATTCCGCAGTAAATGCTTGGTTTCCAAATTAATGGCATAGCAACACAATGCACAACCTTCTTGCGGCAACACCAGAAGCACTCCAAATGGCCAGATACTGGTCAAAGGACATTTAATCAACTACCAAGCTTGCAAACTCTGTGTCTTTTGTATGTTTGTTTGTTTGTTCTGTGCAAAAATGTAATACAACTGTTCGGTTGCCTGACAAAATAAATAAACACAATGCTTACATTCTTCGTTTTCCCCTACTTCATGGCTGTTGGGTAACCACTCCATTCCTGATACCGGGAGTGTCTTGGATGCCGTTTTAGAAAAGCTAACCCTTAAAAACGCATTTACGGGAGGAAATGTGGCACAACTTTTCCTCTGAAGAGACCAATATCCACTAATTGCAGTAATGCAAATGTATCTAAACGAACTCAATGCATGCATACAAATACAAATGACAATACTGGATGACAAGGACTTGTTGTGTGTATTATAAATCATTTTTGTTCCACATATCTATATAAATAAAAATGTAATGTTCGTTTGTGGTATTCACAGAACTAAAAAACCACTGGACGAATTGACACCAAATTTGGACACAATACACCTCTCAGGCCAACGAGTGTCTGTCACTCATAAAAACATGGAAAAACACAGCAGAAGAGACTTAAAAAGCAAAAAACAAAAAAACAAAAAACAAACTCATTACAAAGCATGCGCAAAACCACATATATACACAAACACACATACACAAATATATATACACACATATATGCATATATACACACACAAAACACATATACACAGAAAGGGGGAAGGAAGGAAGGAAGGAAGGAAGGAAGGAAGGAAGGAAGGAAGGAGGGAAGGAGAGAAAGGTAGGCAAGGAAGGAAGGAGAGAAGGAAATAAAAAAGTGAAAGAAAGAAGGAAAATCGAGTGACTTATTTATATTAAAAGTAACGGTTGTGGAAAAAGAAGGGAAGCCCTAATAAGCATCTTTATTGTAACAGAACCATCATAAAGAAAGGATAAGCGTGTGCCTGACACAATCTGTTAAAGAAAGAAACATCTTTTTAAAGGAACTAAGTTTGAGACCTGTTTGTTAGAAGAATTAGACCTCCTGAGAGTTATTTAAGAACTGTTATGAATGTAACCATTGAAGTTCTGTACCTCTAAGAGAAAGGAAACTTTGAAACCATCAAGCTTCTGTACCTCAATAAACTTGTTACAGTTTCTTATGTTACCATTCCTTTCCAAGTCAAGTCACACTACATATTGAAGAAAGACCAAAGCAACATTACAAGCTATTGGTTGTGTCATCAATTTAATAAGTCATCACAAAGAGGTGGCTCCTTTTACCAACTCTCTACATATTGGTAGCAGTTATATTTATACATCCTTACAGTTTGGTGGCATCATTGCAAATTAGTGGCCAAGCCTTTACAATTAGGAGCAGTAATATATGGGCTCCGTCACACTGTGTTTGTTGTACTGATTGGCGTGGCCTCATGTAAGCTGCCCCGAGTCCCCTTGGGGGAGGTGGAGCAGGGTATAAATAAAGTATTATTATTATTATTATTATTATTATTATTATTATTATTATTTCTGTTTAATGTGAATGTAACAATCCTATGTTTTATTGCCATTTGTATTTGTATGCATACATTGAGTTTGTTTAGATACATTTGCATTACTGTAATTAGTGGATATTGGTCTCGTCAGTTCCAAGGGAACCCATTTTTCTTTTCAGTATTGCACAACTTTTCTGCTCTCAGCTCTCCTTGTGTTCTCATGAATTATCGGAAGCAAAGCGAATCTCGACAAACCCATTAATGGAGGAAACGTGGCATTGTTTTACAGCTCTCCAATAAGTCTGCCTCCTGGTATTCCTTTCCTCAGTGATGTGACTCCCCGCAAAGAGGGACCTCCGAGACCCCTCCCACCCTTTGCTGGGACACAGCCTCTTCACGCTTATTTTTACCTGAGCCAATTTCATCATCATGTGAGCAAAGACATGAAGAAAACCAATGACAGCGTCCCACAGTCTGCTATGTGCTAGGCTCTGCTGGTTCCCAGTGCACGGTCCCTGAGGAAGAAGGAAGGAAGAAACACAAAGTGCACACTTTCATATCAGGCAATTATTGCTGCATTTCCAAACCGTTTGTTTGGACTGTTTTCGCAGCATGTATTGTCGTGTTTTTATGCACGCGGATGTGATTCCAAATCGTTTGTAAACATATGGCAAACCCACGAATCTCATAAAGGTTTTCTTAGGAAGGAATACCTGGATATACTCGGTAAGGCTGTTGAAGACCTGCTTGGCCACCGCCATGGCTTTGGAGAAGTTGCGTTTGCCTTGCTCATCGATCACATCCTTGCCAGAGTAATACCAGTAGAAGTCACTGATGGACTCCTGAGGAGGGAAGAGGTCAAGAAGTAACTTTGAGCAATGTTGGATACAAAGATGTTAACTCCCGATGGAGAGTGTGACTTAAGAGCAGCCCCTTGCCAATTCCCATTTTACGAGGGTTGAATGAAAAGTAATGCCTCCACCTTCGTTACCTGGGTTTGGATGGGACTATTTTAATAAATCAAACTCAGAAATAATCCTCAGAATGTGCTCTTTCACTACCACTATTCACTTTTCCACATAATCACCAGACAATTGGATACATTTTTGCCAACGATTATTCTGAAGCCGTCACGGAAGAAGTCGACACTCTGTTTCTCCAACCAGCATCTCACAGTTCTCTCAACGTCTTCATCAGAAGCATAATGATGTCCCCACAGATCTTCTTTCATTATCAGGAACAGATGGAAGTCAGATGGTGCTAAATCTGGACTGTATGGAGGATGTCGTATGGTGGTGAGATCCAGTCCCTGAAGTTTCCAGTCTGTGCGCTTCCATTTCAAGCATCAGCATCCTGGGTACCCATCGTGCACAGATCTTCTGATAGTCAAGCAAAGCAATTCTTGTGAAATGCCAATTATGCTTGAAATTTCTCTCTGAGTGATATGATACAGCTAAGCTTTATACCTTAATTGTTCCAGTTCTCTTAAATAAACATCATTGTTTTGTTGTTCACAACAACTGCCTCACGTGTGCCTCTGTGGATGAAGTTTTAAAAACAGTTCTGCTTTTGGGATTTTTTATTTTTCTCAAATAAATCTTCACTCCTTTATACTGTCACAGGACATCCAACTCTTTGTTTGTCACACAAATCAGATGTTCCCACCTCAACATCTTTAAACTTGCCCGTGCAACGATGTACAGCACTCACATCAACACAATCCCCATAAACAGCTTGCATTCTCTGATGAATCTCCTTTGGGATGACATCTTCGGCTGTCCAGAATTCAATGACTGCACGTTGTTTAAGTTGCATTGACTGACCTTCTGCGCAGGGTTCCATACTTTTCATTTTAACATCACAACTGTTTGATGCTAAGGCTTTCCACCAAAATGGAACTGTAGAGGAGAGTCTATTGAACAAGCCAGTACCTGTCGCATACCAGTTCTGATATCTGTTGAGGAGTTACGAAGGTGGAGGCATTACTTTTCATTCAACCCTCATATTATGTATGCCAAGGATACACAACATGCAGCATAGGAGACTGAACGTGCACTATGGGGTCCCTTCAAGATTCTTCTACTATTATCTGCAATCAAGATAAGAGGTATTTAATGCCCTGCATACTGGACATACTGACCACTTTTCCTTTGAGAAAGGAATCAGATCCTGATCTAAAAGCAGATCTAAAAGGACACAGAGGTATCAAGGGCACCAAGGATGGACTTCTGGACAGGAAGCCACCTTATCTCCAGAACTGGATTGGTGTGAGGCTTTGCCAGTCTCCTGTGCTCAAGACCAACTCACCTGAAGACGCAGAAGGTAGTCAACAGTGCAGATGATGATGTTGATTGTGGTTGTGTTTCCCGTCTGTGTCCGCAGGTAGTTTTGAAAATCTGGGATAAAAGGCAGCATGGTGAGAAACTGGTATTGGATTCTACTGACCTCATTTCCCAGGCTTCCTTTGTTCTATCTTCACAATAGCCTTGGGTTGGGTGGGGAGGGGGTTGATTTTGTCATTTGGGAGTTGTAGTTGCTGGGATTTATAGTTCACCTACAATCAAAGAGCATTCTGAGCTCCACCAATGATGGAATTGAACCAAACTTGGCTCACAGGATTCCTGTGACCAATAGAAAATATTGGAAGGATTGACGTTGAGTTTTGGAGTTGTAGTTCACCTACATCCAGAGAGCACTGTGGACTCAAACAATGATGGATCTGGACCAATTTTGGCACAAATGCTCAATATGCCCAAATGTGAACACTGGTGGATTTGGGGGAAAATAGGCCTTGACATTTGGGAGTTGTAGTTGCTGGGATTTATAGTTCACCTACAATCAAAGAGTATTCTGAACTCCACCAATGATGGAATTGAATCAAACTTGGCTCACAGGACTCCTATGACCAATAGAAAATACTGGAAGGATTGACCTTGAGTTTAGGAGCTGTAGTTCACCTACATCCAGAGAGCACTGTGGACTCAAATAATGATGGATTTGGACCAAGCTTGGCACGAATACTCAATATGCCCAAATGTGAACACTGGTGGAATTTTGGGGGAAATAGATCTTGACATTTGGGAGTTGTAGTTGCTGGGATTTATAGTTCACCTACAATCATCACCTACAATCAAAGAGCATTCTGAACTCCACTAATGATAGAATTGAATCAAATTTGGCTCACAGGACTCCTATAACCAACAGAAAATACTGGAAGGGTTTGTTGGGCATTGACCTTGAGTTTTGGAACTGTAGTTCACCTACATCCAGAGAGCACTGTGGACTCAAACAATGATGGATCTGGACCAATTTTGGCACGAATATTCAATATGCCCAAATGTGAACACTGGTGGGTTTTGGGGAAAATAGATCTCTCTGGGGAGCGAATTCCACAAGCTGGGGGCCACCACTGAGAAGGCCTGTCTCTCGTCCCCACCAGATGTGTTTGAGACACTGGTGGGACTGAGAGCAGGGCCTCCCCAGTTGATCTTAAATTATGAGGTGGAATGTAGAGAGATCTACGTTCGGATAAGTAAGCTGGGCCATATAGGGTTTTATAGGCCAAGACCAGCACTTTGAATTGTGCTTGGAGGTGGACCAGCAGCCAGTGGAGCTGACATAACAAGGGGGGGGTGGGTGGGTGGTGTGCTCCTGTGAGTAATCTGGCTGCTGCCCATTGGGACTAGCTGAAGTCTCTGAACAGTCTTCAAAGGCAACCCCACGTAGAGTGTGTTGCAGTAATCTATTCGGGATGTAACCAGAGCGTGGACCACCGTGGCTTTGCTGTCACCCACATCACAAACCTACCGTTGTTGTGACCTTCACATAGGAGCTGCAGGAACCGAAAGAGGTCCTGTGTGAACAAATCGTCGGCCATCACCTTCTCTCCTAGAGCAGGGAAAGGGTCAAGGGAAGAGACAGAACTGGCCAACATTAGCAGGAACAACATAAGGGCAAAGGAGAGACAGAGAGAGAGAGGAAAGAAAAGGGGGCTCGGGTTTCCAGGGTGAAGCAGAAGGGGAGTGTGCATTTAGTACACAATTAGGATCTCCAAAGCCCACAAGAGCAGGAGAAAGGCAAACCCACACGGCAAAATGGTTGCGGCACACAGGGCACGGTGAGCTCCTGCAGGCCTCATTCGAGACAAAGCTCTCATTTGGTTGTTCCAGACCCAAACTGAAACCAAGGGCTGAAATCCTCTGTTTCAAGGGAACGTCATCTGGACAAAAGCAAAGGAAGAGCCAATAATATTCATTACACAGAACAAACTGGAAATATGTGGCAGAATTCCAGGACTCATTTCCTGTTTAGTGAATTCTGGAGAGAGGGCGAGATATGTCTCCACAGCCAGACACAGAACAACAGAAGTATCCTCAGGGTTTTCTAGAGGATGAAGTCCTTGTTGTGCATCTGGTGACATAGACATAGCCAGACACCCCAGTGCTCTCATTCTCCATCAGCCACTTTATGGCTTGTGGTGGAAGGTGAATTCTGAGAGACGTATCATACGTAGTTCTGCCAGGGCAGCGTTGTGTGATATGTCTCCTGATGCAGGATCTCAGCCATCATTTGGGAATGCTCCTCAGCACTATAAGCAACTCAAAAGTCAACTCCAGGCATGTAGAAATCTAGCACAACAAGGAGAAGGCGTAAGTCTCGTCCCATCTGCTACATGGAAGGAGATTTTTTTTACACTTGGTAAAGATAATGACTTTATTTATCTATATAAATAAAAATGTAATGTTCGTTTGTGGGATTAACATAACTCAAAAACCACTGGATGAACGAATTGACCCGAAATTTGGACACTATACCCCTAACAGACCAATGAGTGACCATCACTCATCCCCCCCCAAAAAAAAACCAGCAGAAAGAACTTAAATCCCAAAAAAAGGTAAATGACAAAAAAACCCTAAATGATGATACAGAAAAAAAGGGAAGGAAATGGGAGGAAGGGAGGGAGGGGAAGGAAGGAAGGAAGGAAGGAAGGAAGGAAGGAAGGAAGGAAAGAGGTAGAGAAGAAAGGAGAGAAAGAAAAAGGAAAAGGAAGGGGGAAGGAAGGAAAGAGGGAGCGAAGAAAGGGGGAAAATAAGGAGAGAAAGGGAGGGAAGGAAAGAAGGAAAGAGAAAGAATGATGGAAGCAAAAGGCAAAGAAAGGAAGAAAAGATGTAGAGAAGGAAAAAAGGAGAGAAAGGAGAAGGAAAAGAAAAGGAGGAAAGAGGAGGAAGAAAGGAAGAAAGGAAGGAAGTGAGCAAGGAAGGAAGAGCGGAAGGAAGGGAGTGATGAAGGAAGAAAGAGAGGAAGGAAGGGATGAAGGAATGAAGTAAAGAAGGAAGGGAAGATGGAAGGAGAGATGGAAGGGAAGAAGGACGGAAGGAAGGATGGAAGGAAAGGAAGAAGGAAGGAGAGATGGAAGGAAAGAAGGAAGGAAGGAAGGAAGGAAGGAAGGAAGGAAGGAAGGAGGGAATGAGTCTGAATACCGTTTAGAACGAATAAGGAACGACACGACTGTTGACTTCCTTACAGACGGTAGCGAATGACGTTTACTGTTGACTTTGACTGAAGAAAGCTGTGAGCCACTGACGTTGGCCTCCTTCAGCAGCACATTGATGGAAGGAAAGCAACGGACCGTTCATACACTACTTCTATCCTTCACAAGATGAAGGCATTACTGCAAGATGTATATAAGTACCTAGCAAGGATAGAAAGTATAATGGCACAGACAAGGGGGTCCTAAGGAATTCCCGATTTATAGAAGGCAGGGAATTATTAAGGCAGGAAACAAGGATTGAGTAAGGACTCCGTCATTAAGTACGTCCTGCAGTAAAGTAAGGAAGGAAGGAAGGAAGGAAAGAGAGCAAAGGAAGGGGGAAAAGAAGGAGAGAAAGATGGAGGGAAGATTGTCCACAGCAATGCGTGGCGGGTAGAACTAGTCAGTTATATGTTTCAGAATTCTGCACCTTCTTTTGTGTAATATATTAGTTGGCTCTAAAGTTCACAAGAGGAGAACTGGTCAGCACTTTATTGGATTTCCAAAGATAATTGAACAGAATGGACAAAACAAGGCAAGAAATGCTATTTACGAGTAGCAATTCTTCCATTGCAATCCAAACGCCACCAGTAGTTGTTGCTATGTTTACATGATGAAAAGCAGAAAGGACACAGATGAAGAGTCAACATTGGAAGTTTCCATCATATGCTGAAAAGGCATGTCTTTCAAACATGAAGTTGAAAAGCAGCTTGCCTCTTCAGTAGCCCAGGAGTGGAAATGATAAAGAAATCATTGACTGCAATACAGATTTCTCTTCCATGGGCATGCTTCATAGCTCCATTGGAACGAATGAAGACAAATGCAGCAGTTGACCTTTCATGTAAAGCTTTTCACCGATATCCCTTATCTCCAACCTGGTGGCCATAAATATCAGCAAGGGACATATGGTGGGATATAATACAAGCAAACTAGAACTGGACAAATGTCAATAAGGTCTTCCAAATTTGAAATATTTTCAGAGCAAAGGGGAATTGACCAGAGGAAAGGACACTGGTGTTACCCTTAACGTGGGAGCGGAGCTGGAGTGAGGACTGCAGTAGTTGACCCAGAGTTAGTAAGACAACAGACATGCCATGCATTTAGTTCCTGGATCATTTGACTCCATTGGGATTGTGGATATTCTTGGTCAGGAAAAAATATTCCCTCTAAGATTCAGCATCAAATGTTTCCTAAATACTTATACATCTAATGATAGAATTACAGTGGGGGAAACAAAAAAGACTAATCAAATATAAGTAGACTTGAGTTTTAACTGATTATTGTTATTATTATTATTATTATTATTATTATTATTATTATTATTTTGTGTCAGGAGCAACTTGAGAAACTGCAAGTTGCTTCTGATGTGAGAGAATTGGCTATCTGCAAGGACGTTGCCCAGAGGATGCCTGGATTTTTTTGATGTTGTGGGAGGCTTTTCTCATGTCTCCACATGGGGAGCTGGAGCTGACAGAGGGAGCTCATCTGCTCTCTTGCCAGATTCGAACCTCCGACCTGTCGGTCTTCAGTCCTGCCAGCACAAGGGTTTAACCCACAGCGCCACCCGGGGCTCCAATATAATAATAATAATAATAATAATAATAATAATAATAATAATAATAAAATAATTATATATATATTGTCATGTCAGGAGCAACCTGAGAAACTGCAAGTCGCTTCTGGTGTGAGAAAATTGGCCGTCTGCAAGGATGTTGCCCAGGGGATGCCCGGATGATTTTGATATTTTACCATCCTTGTGGGAGGCCTCTCTCATGTCCCCGCGTGAGGAGCTGGAGCTGACAGAGGGAGCTCATCCATGCTCTCACTGGATTTGAACCTCCGACCTGTTGGTCTTCAGTCCTGCCATCACAAGGGTTTAACCCACAGTGCCACCCGGGGCTCCAATATTACTATAATTATAATATTATATATTATTATTATATTATTATTATTAACAACTAGTTCCTTCTAATGTATAGTTCAAGGCAAAGATCTAAGGAAGGGCGGGATAATGGAGATCGAATCTATGCAAAATACAGGTAGTGTGTGAAGGAGGACTTGGCACGGTACATAGAAATTCCAAATACTACGTCCAAGTAACAAACAACAGAAACAAAAGAGGTAAATCTAGAATATGACAATCAGCCGGTGGCCCTCTAACTTGGAAGGTTAACGGATTAGTTGCAGAAGGGTCATCATTCCACTGATCGGTTCACACCATCCGTTTTGCGGCATTGGTCATTAATGAAGATATGAATCCAGCGGTGTTAGGGAGGCCAAGGAGGATAAGTGAATGGGGTCGGCCCATTCGCAAGAACCCGGGTGGATCCATATTGTCTTCGCCTGGCATTAATGACCAGCCCCTTTTCCATTGTAGGTCCGCTTCGTGGACGAAGCCCAATCATCCCCTGATCGCTTTCCCCTCTTGCTTTGTGGAGGAGTGCAAGCGTTGTCGAGGGGGTGGCCGTGGTGCGTGGGAAGGACGGGCTCGGGGAACGCACAGGGAAGGGAAGGGAACGATGCTGCCCAAAGTCATCGCAGTAAGATCTGTTTTTGTCTAAGACTTACAGCTGGAATTAGAACTCTTCTAGAGCATTAAATACGGCAGTGACCTGGAACAGAAGCAGCGACACAGGACAACATAAGGATACGAGAAGGAAGGTGCGAGCATGGCATAGAGACCCAGGAGGACAGAGCAAAAGGAAAGTAGTACAACAGGGCTGGGCAACTCATGACCCTACACAACTGATTTACCCAGAATTTCCACTTCTGAATTTGGCACGACACCAATGAATTAATAGAATCATAGAATCAAAGAGTTGGAAGAGACCTCATGGGCCATCCAGTCCAACCCCCTGCCAAGAAGCAGGAATATTGCATTCAAATCACCCCTGACAGATGGCCATCCAGCCCCTGTTTAAAAGCTTCCAAAGAAGGAGCTTCCACCACACTCCGGGGCAGAGAGTTCCACTGCTGAACGGCTCTCACAGTCAGGAAGTTCTTCCTCATGTTTAGATGGAATCTCCTTTCTTGTAGTTTGAAGCCATTGTTCCGCGTCCTAGTCTCCAGGAAGCAGAAAACAAGCTTGCTCCCTCCTCCCTGTGACTTCCTCTCACATATTTATACATGGCTATCATATCTCCTCTCAGCCTTCTTTTCTTCAGGCTAAACATGCCCAGCTCTTTAAGCCGCTCCTCATAGGGCTTGTTCTCCAGACCCTTGATCATTTTAGTCGCCCTGCTCTGGACACATTCCTCTGGACATATACCGCCTTTCTCACCCCTGGGGGGACTCAAAGTTTTCACTCCAATGGAATCTGCTTTGTGTTTGCTGCTAAGGACTCAGTTCATGCCCAACT